ATTGTAAACGTGAAAAAGTCGATAAAAATACAAAACACAATTAGAATATGGTTCTTTGCGTTTTGAGAAAATGGGTTTATTATAATGGTCATTATGGACGGGAAACTACATTTAATCAACACGGTATTGGTATAAGTTGACTACTTGAACTTTGTAAGTCTTAACCATGTAAACTCAATATCGAAGATAACATTTCAGTTCGTGTCTTCCCCACAGTCTTCGAAATAGACAAGTCCAGAAAGGTTATATTCAACTGATTTAACGACGAAATGAACACGGAGTAGATTAATTGTATTTTGAAAAGTAATAACTTAACCAAAAATAAACATTGCGGAGTGTTTGGTAGCGATGAGTTACGTAGCTTAGTCCTACACAATGCTCCAAAGTGCGAGATATTAGTTAGTAATACAGACAAAACATCTCAAGAGGGTCAACATTGGTGCCTCTTTATAGTACCCAGAGATAGCGAGTTAGCAGAAGAAACGTGTATTTTGTAGATTCCTACGGCCACGCACCGTCTTATTACAACTCCGATTTTGAAACATTTGTAAAGAGCCTAAAAAGGAAAATTATATCCACTTCAGTAAGACTTCAAAGTTGGGATTCATCAGTGTGTGGACAATACACCATATACTTTTCTGTTCAGTGGTGCAAGGGCAGAAGTGTAGAAGACATATTATCAGACTTCTGTTCAAATACGCAATTGAACGATGGTTTGGTCAAACGTTATGTTTCTGATATGCAGGTCAGAATCCAAAGATCACATTCTGATACTTTTCAAACTTGCACCTTTCAAAGAGACTATGTATTGTAAAATATTTGTTTATAGTTATACTAGATAAGATAGTTAAGTTAATAATCAAGAATATTGTAAACATAGTAATTCACGAAACAAAAACAAAATGTATCAGAATATAGTTGTTTATGTATTAAAAACATATTATTGTTATGTCATTATTGAATGAAAATGTTAGTAGACTACTATGCTATTATGATTACAAGTTTTGATTTAATGTACATGTCGAATGTACAGTTCGTAAAATTCAGCCACTATTTTGAGCTAAGAATATATGCAGGCACAGACAATATGATTTAAAACGTAAAACTTCACAGAAGTTAGAATGTGGGGATGTGGCTACATTTCGACAAATGAAAGAGATCATTTATTAGGGAGTTTTATTTTACAATTATTGTGTGGTATCAAGAGAATTTTGACGTGAAATCAGTCTACTACTTTTTATTATAATGTTGGGTTCGGTAAAAACCAATTTTATCCGTTATAGCGATTAGGGTTAAGACTGGAGGAGTATAGTAAGTGTATAACTGAAATTGCCTGAATATGCGAGGGAGGGGGGTGTCGGCGAGATCAAAGAAAGCGGCTCCGACAGCCCGATTTCTATCTCCCGAACGGGAAGAGCTAGAGAGACGGGACCCGCGCCAAAGTGTTTAGGGGGGTTAGGTTAGGCCTAGAAGACTTCACCCCTAACTATACCCTGGGTAGGGGCGTGGTGGGGGAGGGAAATAGGGTCGATTTTCGGGGGCTAGGAAGCCTCTTATCGGGCCTTAGGGTTAGCGAAGGGTCGGTTTGTTGACTTAAAGGCTTAACTCGAGTGGATTAGTAGAGATAAGCCGAAAAGTCAATAACACTCGAGATATCTATACGGGTACCTATGTAGTATGATCATCCTTGCTGGAGGCCTATCATTTTCTCCAGCGATGGGCTGGAATACTTTCACGGACGACATGAGAGATTCTTTCCGTTGTTCGAAAGTTATAATCTATCCATTACCATACGCATTCCTTGTAGTAACATTGATTTTGATCTTGGTGGTAATTACCACGTTTTGCTATAGTCAAATATTCATTATTGCGACTCGCCAACAGAAACAAATAGTGAAAGAAAATTCAAGATTTGACGCCAGTCAGAATAGATCAGGAAGCAAGGATGATGGTTCATCAACACGACAGAAATCCCAGACAAAGAAAACATGCCGCGTACACCAGAATTGCTCCAAGAAGAACTGCCATTTGAAAATCGTGAAAACGGGGATAATGCTCCTCGGTCCGTATTTTCTGACATGGGTACCAAGTTTAACATTGACAGCGATAATACCTTTCAAGAAGGATTCTGATGACATCTGGGTGTACATGACTTTACATCATTGTTGCTTCATTCTCATCTTGCTCCAAGCCTGTGTAAATCCCGTCGTCTATGTTTTAAAAATGAAAGGCTTTAGACGGACTTTAAAGAATGTGTTTGCGAGGAACATGGACTTTCTTCAAATCCATGAGAGAGATGACCCGAATATTAAGAAAGAGTCTTTGAAAGGTTTAATAAGGCACGTGTGCGTGACACTTTTTTCTCTTCACATACATTTGAGCAAAGTAGAGTTAAAAGAATGTCACTATTTGACCAAAGGTTCCAATGCACCATTGGAAAGGTGAGAGTGTAAGCTTCAAGGATCTGGATTACTTTTGGAGGGTTGCTACACTGTAGTTACAAAGTTGTAAAATTAAATCTCATCACCAAGGGGTAAAATTAAGTCTTAATTTTTATTTAAATAAATCACAATTTTTCAACCAATTTAAGTTCTGTCAATTATTTATATTTTCAATGTAAATGTCCATTATAACAATTTAAGTGTCCTTAGAGACACAAACGTATGTGAAAATAATGCCACCTTTTTTAACATCATATTTTTCATTCATTTTTTCCTTGAAATATACTAGAAGAGCATTTGTGTCACTCTCCATGACCTATTTTGTGACTCCGCTTTTCTACTTAGTTCATATGTCGGTGGGAGGGGTAAAGTAGTCATACATGAAAAGGTATGTTTTAGTGCCTTTCATATCTAAAACGAATACACTGGTTTAACATTAGGCGCTCATCTAGCAAACTTCAAAAGTAGAACACAAGAAGTTGTAGTGATTTCCCAGGGGTTTTATGAACAGGGTACTATATTCTCATTTTTATCAGGGTACCAATCTGAGGCCCAGGAATACGTTAAAAATGTTTAAAAAGTCCGCTCGTGTACTAAGTTGTTAATGCGTGGTGTATGCATGTATATTATATACTGATTTTACTAGATTACTTACATGTATAATTACATGTATTAATGACAGTATACCCGGGCCTCAGGTGCCAATTATTAACAGGATGGCATGTCTTTAAATCATTTTGCCCTGCACATATTATTTTAAACGGTACAATTAAGTGATTTCATACAATACGTATTTTGAAGACGATTTGAGTAATCAAGATAATGATCTTCTTTTATTGCAAATGCATGCGGACGCATGTGAGAATGTTGCACATGTTGGTCGTTCAATAAGTAAAGCTAAAGCTCTAAAACTTTGCATCATTCATCATTCTTTTTACAGTAGAAGCATTGGACATTGTTCTACACAACCAATATAATTCGACATCGATTCAACACTGATCCGACGTCGTTAATCGACGTTATTTCGACGTCGAATTGGTGCCGAAACGGCGTTGAATTATTGGTTGAAGATTGCAGGTGACCTATTTCAAATAGGGTTGAGAAAAGTGGTGGATTTAGCGGATTTTGCTATTTGAACTACTTTTCCAGGAATTTCTAATATATCTCAATTTTTCAGGATAGTTAGACAAATGTCCATTTTTGAAAATTTGAATTATGTCCCGATTAAAAAACCAAAATTAAATAACAACTAATCATTATTTAATTCTCACATAATCGAGAATTCTCCTGAAAACTGAATTTAAATCAAGCGTGTATTAATTAAATCAATGGCAATTATGCCCTAATTATCAGTTGCACATTCAATGAAAATTAACTTCAATTAACTCTATTGATTTTTACATGAAAAACAAGTACCCTTTGCATTCGTTCGACTTCAATTCTTGAAAGAGAGCTTCATTAGTTTATAACTAGACTCTGCGCGCAAGGTAAAAATTATTATGTATGAGGGTGGAAATTAGTTGTAATGTAAAATTGTTTTTTATTTATCTGGGGAGTTATTTATCATCAACACATTTTATCTCATCATTCTGATTGGTTTAGGCTAAATTAAAAATATTTACTCAAAGTGTAGATGAAGTTCTCTTTTAAAGTAGCAAAATCAAACTATGAGAAAGAATAAACTTGACCTGGTATATAATAAGAAAGTCAAAATACACACAGATGTACTGTTATAGAAACATTTATTTTTATCATGCATATCAAATTATTTTACAATTTGTCAATAAATTTATATTTAGTTATATAGAAGAACTATTGTATAAGAATTGTAAATATTATTTCAAATGTACAAACTTATTTACATTTTGATACATTAAAATGTGTAGTTGAGCTATTTACATTTTATACAATATATGGACGGCATCATGCTCGTAAAAAGGACGGAATAGAGTAATCAAAATCTTTGGACGATAAAGTTTAATGTGGACGGATTTTAAATAAAATGTAAAAGTTGTATAAATATTATAATACTTTATCAAAATAACACAGCAGCCGTATTTGCTTAAATTAGATATTTTTGAATGCTCTTTGTTCTTTTGTTACTACAGAATGTATTGGTACTAAGCACACATCATCATCCCATGAGCATTTTAGTATCCTTTTTATTGAGCTGGTCATCTTACTGTCAGTTTATTTATATATATTATTCATTATGAGATAAATATAGAAATAGCTCCATGACTACAGTTTGGAACAAAACCAATGACAGGTAGATTTTCTATCCCCATATCCAAACCATGGTGTTTTGAAAGCCCTATAGTCTCAAATATTGTCTAGATACATATCCCTTAAAATTTGTACATTTTACAATTTGTATACTGTCATTCACTGATATATGACCTCTTATTTTCTCTTATTTTTAACATGGGAAATCCTCACTTCAGCAAATCCATGTGTCATTATTTTTGTTCCAAACTGTAACACAGTCATGTTATCATGAATTCTTCATCCTCCAAGCGCAGGGTTCCAGACCCCATTCACTACGTTCCTTCCTTCTTCCAAGAATGTGGTACGACTGGTGGAGGCCTGCGTTCGGAGGATGAAGCATTTTATGTGTCTAATTGTTCAGATTTCTTTCATTTTCATAATCACAGGTTATTTTTCTTTCTCTAAGGTGACCCCCTTAAGATAATATACCCACTGCACGTTAGACTGTCCGCCTGCTGATCGAGGACAAGATACGACAAGTTTGCCCATGACGGCTGCCTTACTGCCAGAATCATTCCCATCATACCCTACTACAACACGATGATCTTTCCTCGATCGTATATTCTCAGCAGGTTTTGTGACGTGAAACAATGGGTTGTCAACTTGGAATGTAAACGCTGTTGTGTGTGGGAACACATTCCTGAATGTTATAGATGTTGTTCCACCTGCTTTCACTGTGAATGGCCCTTGTGGTTTTGGTGCTATACAGGTGCCAAATAATGGGAATGTGTATTCACCTCCAACTGCTGATTGGACAGTGAGGGTGCCACGTGATTCGCCGAGTCTGGAAGGCTCGTAAACGGCTTCTACAGCAACTTCTGTACCACTGGTGGAACCAGGAGCTGCGGCTACTGTTTTATCAACATGGAAATCAGTGTTGTCCAACTGAAATTAAACAATGGAAGGACCGGTCAATATAATAACATAGTCACAGTCAATGAAAATAAGACAATTAATTCATTAAGTCAATCTATACTAGTTTAGCAATTTAAGAAGTACTGTTAGATTTTAGGTTTGATCATGGGGTTTCAAGAGTCTCTTGAAAGACCATGGAATAACTTATTCATTAGTTCACTTTTTGTGTATTTTCATTTGAAAATTGTTTAAAGATCGAGTGGTTGTTTATCATGTTGTCACATATGTAATCTGTCAGCAATATATATATGTGTACTTCACTTTAGTCTCAGCGATCACAGAGGTCTGCCACAATTCTCTCTTTGTTGTCCAACAATTTAGCTCAAAGCCTTGATGAGTTTTTGGATGATGAATTTTATTTCACTTACCTTACAAACATAATCAGTTTTCTGTTTAGCAAAGTTGAGGAATTTTGCGACATGAGTTTGTGGTACACCGAGACACGTCCTGAAGTACAAGCCTCGTTCTGGTCCTGCGACAGTTGCTTTGAGATTGAGATCATATGAATACAGACCGAGATCATTACATGTGAACTCCAAACGTCCTGGCGTCTCACCCACTTTCAGGGGCAGATACTCAATGTTGAAGTTACCCTGAAAAACACAAGTTGGCATTTAACTGTTTTGTATACTGAACATTCTTCTTCATTGGTCGACTGATGGTCAGGTGACATGAATCAGAACTGCATGTTTCTTGACAATAATATCGAGTCTTATTGAATTCTATTAACAGACATGTACAAAATGTCACCACCTGCAAACCCCCAAACACTGTCCATTTTTGGTGGTGACATAAAGATGTTGTTATTGTTTTATGGAAACTAAAACATATATTTAAAAACCATCATAAAGCAAAAGACTACAACACCAAACAATTGTAACATGTGCTTACCTCCGACTCTGCTGGCACTGCTAATTGGTTAGGCATCAAAACCTCCACGACGTTACACGAAGCAAGAAATGTTACAGCATACGATAATGGGTTCTTTAGGGTAAGCGTGTGTTGAATGCTTTGGCGCACAGGTGTGCTTAGGTCTATTGTGCTAATGACACCAGGCTTTGTTGCTTTGAAAGTCAACTCAAAATATTGATATTCCCCAGTTGTTTCATTGGTAAAGACAGTCTGAAATATGGAAAGAAAGAATGAATGCATCAGTTTGGCCTGGTAGAATATTCATTAAATCATCACTATAAAAATAACACTTAGTGTAGTTTTTTGAGTTTAGTTTATTGAGTTTATGAGGGATGAATTATGATTTTACAATAGCTACAAACTGAGGCCCGGGTATACAGTCATTAATAAAAAATCAGTCTTATTCTTATTCAATGTAAGTAATATAGTAATATAGTAAAATATTAATATACATGTATACACCACGCATTACCAACTCAGTACACTAGGGGACTTTTTTTAAACATTTTTAACGTATTCCTGGGCCTCAGGCTACAAACCTTAAACTGAGTAGAGCCTTCTTTGTGTGCATAGAAATGAATCTTGAAGTCACGTTTTGAGTTCCCAGGTACATCTATGTAGTCTAGACCCTTCAGCGTGGTCCCAGAATCAAGCTTGTCTGGTCTAATCATCTCAAACTTAATCCGGAATCTATAATATTGTTAAATTGGAGTTGTTAGAGAATTATGGATGTTTAAAAATGGCTTTCTAACTCACTAAAGAAATTCATTGGGCATTTACATTACTCAAAATTAAAAGTAGTTTTTTTTCCGGATAGTTCGGTAACATTTTTGTTATGGTTTTCTTCCTGTTTGTACTTAAACCTCAGTTGTATGACCAACTGACTTAACGTTAATGAACATCTGCAAGTGGAACACCTCCCAAGTGGAACAATTTTAGATGTACCAAAGTTGTTCCACTTCCATGTTTTTTTGCTGTATAAATATCTCTCTGAAAATATTACCTTTGAGGCTTCTTGAGCCAGTTATTTACTGGTAAGATTTCTGAGTAGTTGGTCTTGCATGGTATATCACGAACCAACTTCGACACAGCTCTCGGTGCTTCAGAAGTTCCCGACACATTAAACAAATAGCCAGTTCCATCAGGAAGTGGGAAAAACACAGTCCCTTGATGTTTCTTGCCTTCCGTTGTCATGACAAGTGGCTTATATGTCAATTCATATGGTTTGCTTTGCTGGGGGTCTACATCGAAAGTATCGGGACCAGTGTAGAATTCCCCATCTACGATTGGTCGTAAATGCCAGTGCATATTGGTCCTGTTCATTACCATTAGGTTGCGGGTTTCTTTCATGCGTACGTGTGTGCTAAAATGTTGGATTTCTTTGACAGGTGGGATGCTGGTACACATTCCTGTTAGAGTGAGTTTCAATGCTTTACCTCCTTCTATCTTGCATTTGAGATTCTAAAACAAAGAATAGCACATTTAAAAAAAATTATATTTCAGAATTTTGTTTACAATCAATGTTCATATAGTAACAGACCTAAAGGGGGGGGGGGCTCAAAGAATACCACGTGAAAATTGGCTGTTTGGTCTTTAAGAAACGAATGATTGGAATAAATGAAATATAAAAATCTTATAACTGAATAACTGAAACCAAATACCCTGAGACACAGGGGTGAGTAGATACTATCTTCCAAATAAGAGGAATAAACACACAGTTTTAGTGCTGACAGGATCTTAAATATGATCTACATTCTACAGACTTCCCTCTGGCCAAAAAATTCTTTCAAAATCAGGCAGTTTTTCACCAATCTGAGCACTTTTCAAGTGGTTTTGGGTCAAAGTTGTGAACCCCCTGAAATTCTTTAAACAGTGAACCTTAAAAGTGAAAATCGAGTGATAGTTAAGTCACATATTTGAAAGACCGAAACAACTTTTAACCATTCATAGATATACATTTGAAATAAGAAATACATTTAAGTAGAATTTGGCAATTAATACGCACCTCATTTCTGATATCTTGGCTTACTATCTGTGGATGGAACATTACTTCAAATGGGACCTCCATCCCTGGAGAGATGTAACCCTCCACTGGCATGATTGAGAAGTCTGGTTTGAACTTGGCAATGTCCCATTTGAATCTACAAAGTTTATGTTAAATGTTTATAGCTATAAAAGTTGGGTATGTATAAGTTAATGAAAACAAAGAATGAAATTCTGCTCTTAGGGCTGATGTGAAAAAGTCAGTTCAGCCTAGTAGGGATCGAACCTACGACCCCATTGCTTTCCCGACGAGTCCTCTACCACTGAGCTTTGGAGCCGACTGACTTTTGTATGTATGAAATATAGATTTGGAAAATAATGTGTACTGCTCCAGGTTATCCTAATTTTCCATTTATTATGTTGATCTATGTTCTTTTCCCTGCGTTGTAATAAAGGGAAAGTACCTAATCATATTGACTAAATAAAAATTATCAACCTCTGGTTACATGGATATCATTGTTAGACCATACTTTTAAATATCATAGAGCAACAACAGTAGGTTTCATTTTATAAAACACAGAAAGATAAATGCCATATCCTTACCTGGCTCCTATATCTCCTGTGTTATTCATGACCAATTTGCGAGTACTTGAGCTCTTTTGGACAACTGCCCCGAATGGTATAGCATCAGTGTCAAGGTTGATCTCAATACCATGGCAACAGCCAGTCACAGCAAACAAAGGTTGGAACATTCCAGCACATTCCAACATTATCTGAAATTGACAAAAATTATGCTTTTCATTTAAGAAAAAGTGTGAAAGGGCTTGGCAATTATCCAAGAAAAATATAATAATTCTGAGTTATTCTCGAACATCATATCTATTAATTGAAAAAATAGAGTCATGCAAAATTCTTATGAAAACTGAATGTTGCATGCTGGGACTGTACCTCTTCTGTGAATTTTGGGACTCTTGTTTTTGGAGAGAAAATCATCTCAACTTTAGCCATTCCGCCTCTTGGCTCCAAGGTCATCTCTGTTGTTGGAGTTAGCGTCATGACGCCCTTCTCCTGTAGAACTGTATTGGTAGGCGTGATGGCAAGATGGAATGATATAGGGGCGGGGCTATTGTTAACAATAGGGACTGCTTTCTTGACAGTTTGACCGACACGAAGAGCACCAAAGTTGACCATCTTTTGCTTTGGATTGGCAACCTCAATCTGCAATTTAGAATGTATAACTTAAATATTTTGAAATAGAGAGGGACATCTAGAATTGTTCAATTTGAGAAGTCTCAAAATAGGACTTCATGACATAACAGTGATTATGGTGATTTAAGAAACAGGTTTAATGTGGATATTTCCATGTTATGGTAGAACATATCCACTGTAGTTCAAAACACAAAATATTGCGATTAAACAATAAAATGTTATTTCCCAAAATTTTATTTAAAGAATTTTTTGTAAAAATGCTTAACATGACTGATGACAAAATGTAACTACCTGGATGGAAAAGTGTAACACTTGTTACAGAAGACAAACGCCTAAACTAAGGCCTTATATACTAACCTTCATCTCTGTGCCCATTCCAGTGATCTCAATGTTCTGTTTAGAGAGCCCATTGATCTCAAAAGTTATTGTCTCTTGGTACTTGATGGCTTCACGTGGGTAGAATGATAATTCAACTTCTTTAGTTTGACCGGGTGGTAGAACAAGCGCCTCAAAATCATGGTGGAGTTGAGCAGTCGGGACGTACAGGCAGTCCAAACTGAAATTCACAATTACTAATTTATAGACACTCTTATACATATTCAGGCAAGTGACCAACTGGAACAGTTGTTCAAAATGAGCTTTCACGGGATCCCTAGCTTATATACAAGGGTTGATCAAAAAGTTCTGCATGGAACAGTGCAGAAGTTTTAGATTAACCCTCATATAACACACATCATCGATGGAATACTTTTGTGACATTAAGTATTTTGTTGTGGGTTGAGATGCATTTCCAAAATCATGAGGAAAAATAGATCAAAAAAAAAAGAATATTATTTAAAAGTATAACCAACCTAATTTCTTTCTTGTCTTTGTTTGTAACGAGCAATGTTTTGCTATGTTTTGGCATACCAGCCCTGTAGATGAAGCAAGGGCCAAAGTTGTAGCTGTAGAATGAGAAATGGACCCCTGGAGCAACTCCAGTGCCATTTACATTAATAACATAGGTTGGTCCATTAGAGATCTGAAAATACAATATTTCGGGGTCAAAAGCATTTTCCACTGGCATTTTACATTGGCGATCATGTGCAATGTTTTTAAGAAATAATATTTGTAATGATTTTATACATTAATATGTGGTAAGATATAATCCATTGGACACACGCCAGTCTTAATCGACTGATTGAAGTATGTGATTTAAGTGCAAAACTGAGTCAAAAATAAAAAAATTAGCAAGCATGTAGTCAAGTGTTGATTTTAAAGAATACTGAAACCAGGTACTCTATTCAAGTTTTAGAGAAAAATGACCTAAAGCAAATTTGACCAGATATCTATCTTGAAGCAGATCGCTCGGGACAATGCAAGTACATTACCTTAAGAATCAGTTCACATCCTCTTAGTGCAGTCTTGGCAGGTGGACAGAATGCTAATGCACACTTAGTTCTCTCTCCAAACATCACACCGCCCTTCTCAGGTGTTATTGTAACCATTTTGTCCTTACGCGTGCTTCTCTCATTCAACGTCCAATCAAAATCAAAGTTGAATTTCCCAGAGTTTACGATGAAGATATTTCGAACTGCCTTTTCATTGACCTCCACCTGTAAAGAAATAACATAATTGATAAAAATTCAAAAGTGGTCCTGAAAATTCAAAAGTGGTCCTAACAAGTTTTATCTCAAAGATATTGATTAATTTGAAAAATGAAAACCTCACTTTGCAAATGTGAGCAACTCAATGTGAACAACTTTTTGTGGTTCCATTTTTTAATCTGCCATAGACTTCCATGTAAGAGAATCTCCAAATGTGAACACCTGCCAATCAAAACACTTTTGGTTGGTCCCAGGGGTATTTGGATTAGACAGGGTTCTTGAAAATCTTGAAACCGTCATTGACGTCATCTGTCTGTCAATTTTGACCAATCAGCAACAATCTTCTCAATACACATTTACATTACAGACATATGTCTTCTCTGAACCCTGGTGTTTTCCCTCCTCTTGGGTTCACTGTACTTAAAATGACATATAACACGAGCATACCTCTCCAAAACTGAGTTCATTGAATCCTCTATCACTGAGTTCCACCTTGTTTCCCTGAGAGTCCTCACATAAGACCATACACTCCATGGAGTAGCCCTCAGCCTTAACATTAAGCGTTAATGGAAGGATCTTCTTCTTAATGTTGCATATAAGGTTGAAGTTCACTTCTTTATCAGACGTTGGAGTGAAGAAGAGGTTGATGGGTGTTCTGTAAAAATAGCAATTACTGTATAAGTGGTATTTAATCCGTGTGGTTAATTTTCCGAATGGTCAAATTTCATCATTTTCCTAATTTTAATTTTCCTAATGACAAGAAACCTCCCATTGGATAACATTATAAAGACAATATTTCCGACATTTAATTTTCCGAACCTGGCAGAAATTAGGAAATAGGAAAATTAAATGATTAGGCAAAATTACCACTTATACAGTATTCAACCATAGTCAAATGCTGTCAATCAATCAGATTGCTCATTTACTGTGCATTGTAGGACAAAAATGAACTTTTAGGTATATGCAATGTTCAGATTTATGACATTTTAAAATGCCTGGATCCAGGGATCAATATGGTGACATCATTTCTATTTCATTCTTTCCAAAATTTGGTTCTTTAAACAAAATTGGTTCTAGACCTATAAAATGTCACCACCTTCAATTTGTTACAGACACCAATCTCCGAATGCCAACTGCTATCCACAAAAAAGTTGGGGGTGACAAAAAATGGATTTTTTATACTGAGAAAACTGAAAAGAATTATTTTTTTATTTTTCTTACTTTGATTTAGGCATTACGCATCCTGTCATGGGTTCAACTGTTAGGTGAGCAGTGAATGCAGCAGCATGTGTAGAATCCTCAGCAAATGTGAAATAAAGTGGGGAATCCTCAGTGTTGACTATGTGTACGGTTTCCATAGCCTCATGACCTGAAAGGTGTTGCACAATCACATTGGTGTATACTTGCAATTTAGTTTTAACTCATTTATTTTATCATGTTTTTATAAATATCATATCTGAGTGGTCCGCAACTCGTACAAAAGGCTGTGGTGTGTACTTATATGTCTATGTATAAGTGCACATAAAAGAACACAGGGCTCCTTCAAAGAGGGGTTTCTGGGTCTATCTTCCATGTTAATTACGTAAATTACGACCGTATATATACGGGACATACCCAAGAGGTATTGCTCACCTTCATTGGTGGTAAACAAAATACAATACAATACAATACATACTCCATATAAATCGGATTGTTTTGGCTTTCCATGTAAAAGAATTTCTTGACCTATCTGTCAATTAAACCATGTTTAGTGAATACTACCCCTATGCCACATTGCAATAGTTCAAAAATTAAAACTGAAGTCGACCCTGTGAGAAAGCCCATAGACTAACTTAAACTGAACTCACCAATAAGCAGTGACTTGAAGTTGAAGTGAGATCTGTCCATGGCTATATTTGGCTCCCTTGCATCTCCCATTAACAAGAATGGGATACTGATGTTGTGTTCTGGGATCACAAACTTCCAGAAACTTTCTGTAATCCCAAGCTCAGTCGGTGTAAACTCAAACAATATCTGAAATAAAGATTGGTCAATAACATACAGACTTTCTGAATACTAACTTTAAATGGTTAAAGTCACATACACATAATAATCTATTCATTAGAGACACCAGTGATACCATACTACTAAAATAGGAACAATCAATATCTTTATTTTGCAATCTTTTACTTAGGTACTAGAATGGCCATGTTACTTACCTCCTGTTTCTTGCCCCGTCTTATAGAGCCCTCTGGTGTTAGACATTTGAACATGGGTGGATGCTTCGGGTCAATCTCATCATCATTCATCCATGTAAATGTGTATGGGGCATTTGTAGGGTTTACTATGAAGAATTTCCTGTAAAGAAATACACCAAGACTCCTATTATATACATGTACAGCCAAATATAAATGATTTGAAGGGGGAGGGGGGGGGTAATCTTCTCGTGAAAACATTTAAACCCATCAAGCTTTTAGACAGGTGTTTCTATGTGATTTAGAGTTTATGCACTTTACAGAAAATCATCATTCTTAAGAAATGCTTCTCACCTGGTATTCTTCACGTGGACACCCACAGATTTGAATTCTATGACTCGTGTGTTAGGGTCTAGAGTGGTGCCTGGGGGTGCCCCATTGGGTCCCCTCATCTCTGGGTTACGCCTGGCACTGGTCAAATAATCAGAAGCCTCCAACTCAAAATGGCAATATGGGAGAAGACTCCTTGCCTTCAGAGCGATTGCAGGACCCTGTTTGCCTTCCTCTAGGTTAGGGATACTGAAATGTAGATGTCAATGTTTTTTTCATTTTTCAAGAGTAACATGAAATGGATTAATTTAATGCAAATACATATAGCACAAACTGTCACCGATCTATATCCTCATCACTAAAATGTAATAAAAAGAATACATACCATATATCAAAATGTGATATAAAATTATATTTTGTGGAAATATTTTTGATCAAATTTCATATTATCATGATGTTTTATAGTCTTGCTTCAAGACCATGTACCCCACCTGTATCTACTTCAACAACAACTTTTGATGAAGTATAGGGGAGGAGGTTCTTGACGCAAGACTAGATATAATTTTAATATCATACATTTTAACATTGAACTTTTAAAGTCTTGCTTCAAGACCCTGGACCCCACACTTATCTACTTCAACAACAACTGTTGATGGATTAGAGGGGGGGGGGGGTTGTCTTGAATAAATTTTAACATTAAACTTTATAGATTGATCTTCAACGAAAAAACATACCTGCAAAGAAGTCTAGCTTCATAGTCATTCACATCAAGAGGAGAGAACTTCACAGTGAAGCTCTGTTTCTTCCCAGATAATATTGTACCATTTTCTGGCTCAATTGAAAATGGAACATACATATTATCACTCGATAATGAGCTAGGAGTTGTGGAACCAGCACGTGATTCAGGACGCTCTAATTCATTGGCAAATGTCACGGAACGAGCCATCGTGAAGTCCTCCATTACTACCTGCCAGTTGAAGTCCATGCTGATGTTTCCTTTGTTGGTCAAATTCATCCTTTAATGAGATTTGTTACAAAAATTAAAATACTTAAGTCCATTTGAACACACTAGGTAACAATGGAATATGAGGAATACAACTGAATTTGGGAAAGATAAAGTTATAAAAAGTTCACAAGGTCTGCAATTTCTGAAAAACCTCCAATAAACTTTTCAATAAATGTTATAATCTACAGTTTTTAAAAGAACAAAATCATTTTATTCAGCATAAAAAGTGATAAATCATTATTTTATTATAAAAATGTAATAATGAAAAAAATGATCTTGAATTCAATGCACTTGACTTGAATGCAAAATCCAATCTACAACTTACTCATATACACGTGTCTGGAACATCAAAGTGTCCTTGAACTTGACTGGCTCAGATTTCACTTTGTATTTACAGAAATCCGCATTCGCTGATACGAGCAAATCTAATGTTCTCGCTGATTCTGCAATCTCTTGAAAACTTGGTTCGGGTTCAGTTTCAATTACTTTCTTTTTAGCTGGCCTAGGTGGCACTGAACTGTATCCTGGCTGACTTAGGGGAGTAGTTGGCTTCATGGAACTGAAATAATACTTTGAAAAATTACGAATTTCCTCAATAGTAATGTTCTGTAGAGAGATGTACAAGAATGTATGCAGGATGTACACACATTGAAATTTTTCATAAATTGTTTTACTGGGATCTTCCTCCACAATCATCTACATGTAAGTGTTGGCCTAAAAGCCAAAAGGTGATACAAGCAAATACTGAGTGATAATTGCATGATAACTTTAAAGTAAATTAACAGCTACAAATAACATAAATTCAAGCAAATAAAAGAAGAACAAGGCAATAACATGCAAAATGTCACCACCTGCTATTTGTTACAGAAGCCAACCACTGTTGAAGATGCCAAACACCATCCACAAAGTTGGAGACCATAACAGTATGTCACAACTTATGGTGTTGACTTAAAAAGACTAGGGGAGAGTGTCACAGGTATTCGGTCATTCCTAATCTAATATCGGACACTCTCATACAGTTATACTGCTTCTAGATCCGGTGACAATCCCCCCTCTTATAAAACAAGAATTGACAATTTCAATTGACTATATCAAATCTATCCAAATGGGACTATAAATACAACATATCTGAACACCAAAGCTGAACATTTCATTCTACCAGTGTTTTGATCTGCTTGTTTGAAAGTAATGGATACAATATTGAACATATAACAAAGGTAGATCTGGAAAATGACAACGATTGCCCAAAAAATAACTTTTTGAAATCTTTAGTTGGGTTTCCTTATGAAAAAAAGTTATGGCCCATTTTGGAAAAACTGTCTAAGCCAATTAAAAGAGACCGATTTAACAGGGCTACCAATTCTTTAATAATCTTGTTTCAAGACTGTGTACCCCCTGTATTTCAACACTTTCAACACCATTGTTGAAATTGTGTTAAATCAGAAAGGTCCACCCATGTAGCTCAGCGGTAGCGCAGGTACCTCTTACGCAATAGGTCCCGGATTCGATCCCCGGTTCAGGCAAGACTAAATTTGCTTGTTTGCGTGAAGTACTTCGGGGTGTTTGACTGAGTGGTCCGCAACTCGTACAAAAGGCTGTGGTGTGTACTTGTATGTCTATGTATAAGTGCACATAAAAGAACACAGGGCTCCTTCAAGGAGGGGTTTCTGGGTCTATCTTCCATGTTAATTACGTAAATTACGACCGTATATATACGGGAAATACCCAAAAGGTATTGCTCACCTTCATTGGTGGTAAACAAAATACAATACAAAAGGTCAAGTACACAGAGGGGGAGGGGGTACACAGTCTCGAGACAATACCAATTTGAGCCTATGGCACAACCTCTGGAAAATGTAATTTATAAAGGCTACAGATTTTTGTAAATGAGCCATTTCTTGAGATTTTGGCTCAGACTGTTTAATTTCAATTGTGAAACTAGGACTAAATTGTTCTAATCTACTACAATACAAAGGTATTACACATATAAAATGGAAAACAAAAACGACAATGTGAACCAAACACAGGAGGTAATTACCCAGCACCCTTCTTTGATATACCGAAAGCTATAAAACTCAGGCCTCCTGCTTTCAAAGGACTATGACTATAAGCAAGTGGTAAAAGCAAAAGAAAGTTAGGTTACATTAAATATAAAACATTTGGGGACCGTTGTGTGACATAAGACTTTCTGATTAACAGGCAAAAAATAAAATATTGCCTAAAGTTGGAGAATTAATCACTGTGTACTAGAATTACAAATGACACCAAAGCCAGGTATGTTATGTGTTAAACACAGAGGGGGACATTGAAATTAAAATAAACATGTATAGTTAACAATGAAAGAATGATTTATTTGATATGTCAAAGAATGCCACATGGAATGTGGACAGCTACATGTATTGCTTGTTAACAACCATTGGTTTAATCCAACCATTGGTCTAATTTAACCATTGGTTTAATCCAACCATTGGTCTAATTCAACCATTGGTTTAATCCAACCATTGGTTTAATTCAACCATTGGTTTAATTCAACCATTGGTTTAATTCAACAATTGGTTTAATCCAACCATTGGTTTAATTCAACCATTGATTTAATCCAACCATTGGTTTAATTCAACCATTGGTTTAATTCAACCATTGGTTTAATCCAACCATTGGTTTAATTCAACCATTGGTTTAATCCAATCATTGGCTTAATTCAACCATTAGAGGGCACAGTTTCAAATGATTAGCTGTTATAGTTCAAATATTAGACAATTGAAGACTGTATAATACCAATACCTTCTTGTGGTTTGTCTGTGAGCGTGCAAAAGAACATGCAAACATGAATTATAAACAATCCAACTTAATTGAGCATAAATCACAGATTAACAAAGTACATTTTAGAAATACAAAGGTTGCGGTGCAAAAAACATAATTCGTGCTTGAAATCAGTAAGTTATTCAAAAAATAATCCAGAAAATGTCACTTGAGATATTCAGGGTGCAGCAGTTGTAGCATAAACCTAGAACAATATTAATACATTGACATGATGTATCATGCAAGATGGCTGAAAAACATGCTAAAAATATCCCAGGTCATGCTTTTTACACTTCATTTCACTCCTTAATGTAAATAAATTGCCTAATTTTCTTTCATTTGTATACACTTTAGAGTATATTTTTCATGTTTATTTATGATTCAGTCGCTCAGATTGCTGTTAGGTACTTGCTCGTTGCATAAAGATGATAACACGAGAAAGCCTATGTTGCTGACAATATTTTATTTTGCACACCATAAGTGCAACAAGACGCTATACATAATTATGCAAGTTGGGTCTAAAACAACTGGGCAAAAACATGACAAGATTTTAATCTGTAGTCATGACGGCCCATTTACTCCATTCCTTGTTAATTCAACTCTTTTTCACTCAATTTTGGATTTGAAAACATGACCCCTGATATTTTTATTGTTGAATTTATGATGCTTGTTTACCTGTCAGCTGTAGCAGGGACAGGGGGTGTCACATCCACCCATTTAACTGTTCTCATTCTATCATCCCAGTCTGCAATCTAAAACATTAAAGACATTGGGATTAATTAGCATAGAATATTTAGATATATTGCAGAATTGTGGAACACCTCTGTAAGTGGAACACTTTTAGAGTTACTAAAGGAGTTTCACTGGACTGAAAAATTTAATGTTTAGCAAATATTAGACAGCAATTTGAAAGAATTGTTAAGTTGACTTTTCCATAAGATATTCTTGGGCCATGAAATTATCTGTTTTCAAAACAAATGTATTTTAATGAAGAATGTTGTAACATTAGATATACTAAACCATTCATTCTGAAAATCAAATCCTCACCTCATTATTTGGTTTATCGAAGGTAATCTTTGTGATCTTGCATGGCACTGATAGTTCCTCTAGAGATTTAGGGGCATCTGTCTTGAATGTAATGCTCATATCCTTTGTGCACTCTGCATGGAGGTGCCCGACCTGAGGTGCAAATTTAATTTGGGGCTGCTCAGGCCAAAGGAATCTCACACAGTCAGTTTTGCTGTGGTTGGTCATGGTAAAGGTCAGAGTTCGAGGTTCATTGATGTAGCAATCTCCAAAGCGAATATGATTAGATTTGGCAGCTAAAAATAAAAACATTATTTTTGGTAATATAATGTGTCTATAATCTCTATACGCAATGCTTGGATAATGTGTACAACTGTACTTATGTTTAAATGTGTATAATGCTTGGATTATTTCAATGACAGTGACTCAATCTCTTCAAAAATTGAAGTATTTATTAATAAGTTGAGAACTGAGCAAACAATGACAGCATTTTCATCTAAAATTTGAATCAAAGAATATACATGTATCTATTCACTTTTAACAAATTTTGAATATATATTGGTATAATTCTTGTGGAATCTGGAGAAAAATATTGGTAATTGTACTGACCTGCTACGTCATCATCTGCATTATTTCCCTCTTGGTTCTCTGGATCGGCAGTTGTTGCTATGCTGTGAATGTTGTCAAGTGTGATGTCATCCTCGTATCCCTCGCCAACTATCTGAACTATTGAGTCCTCATACTGATTGTTGACAACACTTAGGCGGATGTTTCCTGAAAGGTAAAATAAACATAAATATAATAAATATCACAGTTGCTTTTCAGGGGTCCATAGCCAGCTTTTGCCAAGCAGGGTTCATTTCCCCAAAAATTCCAGGGGGTTCACATTTGACAAAATCACTTGAAAAGTGCTCAGAAAAGTGCATGATTTTGAAAGAATTTATAGCAAGGGAAGGGGGATGGCTATGGGCCTGTTTTTGCAAAATTTAAAATTTTGAACATTGCCAAGTGTGGTGTCCTTCTACATTTGGAATATCATAACTTAAGAATTTTGAAACTTTAAATTAGAGTTATCATTCGCCTTAATAGACATCAGAATAAATTGGATTTATGTGGGCAAAATTGAAAATTCAGATAAAACACAGTAAAACCTCTAATCTGAACACCACTGACCAAAAGTGTTCAGATTAGCAGGTATTCACATTTCAAGGTATTTTTAAATGTGATTCAATGGGAGGTAACAAATTTGGGACAGATAAAAAGTGTTCACATTGAGAGGTATTCTTATAAGACAGGTATACGGATATACAGGTTTCCCTGTTAATCAAAAAAATAAAACATCACTGACCTTGAGATCTGACACTCGCTGTTGGACCATAGATAACCTCAAAGTTTGCAGTATCACCCACATTCACAATCACACTAGCTGTGTGTGGTAATCGTGATGTCTCCCCAGTAAGGGCATCGGGATCAGCCATAACTGCCATGGTGCCCTCCAGAGGGCGCAATGTGTACACATCGTCAGGGTCAACCAGGTCAATGTCAACCTAAAAGTAAAAAGTGAATTTTTAGTAATGTCATAACCTCTTCAAATTTTACAATTGATTGTTTAAGAGACTTAAAAAAATATAATACAAAATTATGATTATAGGTGAAAATTACTGTATTGGCTAAACATGTTCACTTTGAGAACTAAGCTCATATATAAAATGGTTCTGATAACAATTATCTGAATGTATGGACTATATTTTTGATTCTTCCTCTTTTCAAAGAAAAATAAATCAATGAATAAATGAAATGAATGTAAATGAATTGTGAGAAAATCATTTTTATCTTTGTCAAAGTCACGGGTAACTAGAGTATCCGCGTATATTGAGTATGACCGGTTCTTAGGCTACGAATATGACCTGTTTTGGAAAGTCATGAGAGGCACAGCTGCTTAAAAATGGAAAATAAAGGTTAACTTCTATATTATCCTTTTTGAAATTGTGTTTGTTGAAAATAGTTTATGCTGTATTTAATAGTAATGTAACAAAAAAATGTTAAACATGAGCTATTTTAGCAATGTAACTGTTCATAATGGAATATCAATCAGAAAGTACAGATTTCTCGCCTTAGAGCCAAATCATTAATATCACAGTAGAAAAAAACAAATCCCAAACCTTTTTATGGCTAACCTGAACAAGATCTCCAAATCTCAGTTTATATGATCCCCCGTAGAGTGAGCAAGAGAAGGATTTATCTTTTCCCAGAGGATACGCTTGTGAAATGTCATGGAAACGAGTGTAACACGGCCCACTGATTGTTTCACAATCGTATTCTCCAATAATGGGGCACCAGTGACATTCGTATTCTCAAAAATTCAAAGATGTATCATATTTGGACAGAGCAGGCTAAATTATTTAAAATATTCATGACTAATTCGTAGATCTAGCTTTATATTATACATAAGATGTGTCATCCTCTTCGGAGTTGCGTTGTATTACACAAAAACTGATCAAAGATGCTGGAAACTAGGATTTTACGGCTTCAATCTAATATTAATACGTTTTCTCTTGATTAAGGACCCTTGTGATATGCCTGGCATTATAAGTATACCAAGTATCATTCATTGACCAAGTAGGATAAAAAGAAAACGTTCGAAAGTGTTCATAAAAAGCAAGTACTCACCTCGTCTGTTTATAGGAACAGAAATACGGTCACACTCGTAAGCTTAGAACCGGTCATACTCAATATACGCGGATACTCTAGTATCCCGTGAAAGTGATCTTTCATGATTTGTTTTATATGTATGTTGGGTGTTAGTGTTTTGTCAACAATGAGTATCATATTATGTAGGACAAATAAGGCCATTAGAGTTAAAACAATTTCCACATTGAGAAATTGATTATGTAAAATATTTGAAAATTAAAGAAAGAAAAAGTACCTTTTATGCATTTCATATAGATATAAAACAAATGGTTTTAAATAAATAATGATTCAACAATCAAAAGTTCAAAGATGAACATTTTGACGTTTAGGGGCTGGGTCAATATTTCAATGTACCTAAAAAAAAGTAATTACATGAAATTATGTTGGGGGAGGGGGTAAAACGTGTCATATTCTGCAACTTTCGCATTCAACTCAACAATTATGAAAGACAATTTGACTGTTTATAGCAGTAGTGGCTATGCTGGAATTGTACTTGTACATGGGATGCTAATCAACATTTTGACTTTTGTCAGAGGGGGGGGGGGGGGTTAAAACTAAATTAATTAAGCTTTTTGACAGACATAGAAATATGACCCGGCCCCATATATGCTATGATATCAGTAGTAGTTTGTAGGTATTGTGACTCAGTAATTTACAACTCCCTTTACTGTGAATGAAATCAATATTTGCTTTATTGAAGTTCTATATTAACAGTTATGGTGACCTGATAACATTGCTTGCATTGTATGTCAATGTAGTTAGTTAATATTAAATGGGTTCTAAGAACTGTTTAACATAAAAATATATGGCTAAACATTTAAAAGGACAAATGTAATGTAGAAGTAACAATTTTTATTACCTAGTATATAATGATCACGTGGAAGTATTTATTGATTTGATTTACCTATTATAGGAGAATTTATTAAGAAACAGTATCTAGTTTATCAATTGAGTTGAGAGAAACCAAAAACGAAACCATAGTTTTTGGCCTTGGACTTTAAACTCAGTGTCTCTATCACAAGATCACATTAAAGTAAAGAGAGAGAAATGGCGTCATATTCAGATGATCGTTATAAAGCTGCTCTGACATGTGGAATATGCCAGGACATTCTGACTGAACCAAGGGCATTGCCATGTATGCATGCATATTGCTTGAAATGCCTTGATAGCCTTATACAGAAGGGTCAACTACAAGGAGGATCTTTCAACTGCCCAGAATGCCGTCATGTATGTACCATACCACAAGAAGGGGCATGGGAGTTCAAAGTGAGCCCTACAATTTCATTTTTAGTCGATGCCTTTAAGGACAGCCAGCACATGGAAAGGCCAGAATGCGATTCATGTCTTCAAATACATGAAAAACACACCCTTGCCAAAATCAGATGCTTAGATTGCGACAAAAAATTATGTATCGCTTGTGGTAAAAATCATGACTTTCTGTTGAAAGGTCACAAAATAATTGAGCTTACAGGAGATAGTGCACAAGATCTTCAAACGGCACTTCAGTCTATAAAAGAGCGTACTGTTTACTGTCAACTACACCCTACCAAGCCCATAGAGTTGTACTGTAAGGTTGATAAGATGCTAATTTGCCATCAATGCTATCCCATTGACCACCCAGGTCATGCCTGTGAGGACATCAAGAAGATAGCCAAAAAGAACATGAAACCTATCGGTGCTGTTATAACACAGGGAAAAGCACTTATGGACATTTATGAACAGGCTATTCAAGATACACAGGCCTATAAAAGTCAACTGGAGCAGGATGCTGAAAGAACCACAGCTGAAATAAATAATGATATGAACACTTTGATTCAAGCTATTCGGAAGAAATACAAGTCCCACACAGAGCAGGTGATGAAAGAAAAAGAGTCCAATGTCAAGCAGGCTGTGTCCCACATTGGGTACCTGGAGCTTCAGAAAGCCATCATTGAGGGACAAGTCAACAAGTACTGTACCATGGTAGAACATGGCCACCCTGTAGAAATAGCTGGTCTACTGGAGCATGTCAACCTGAAGTTTGAAGAATGGTCTAAGAAACCAAAAATAGCCCTCAGTAGCAAAACAAAATTTCAATTCAATGAGGGAAAATGCCGAGAGGATGGAATTGAATTTGGAAGAGTTGCAATTGAGAAAATCCAAGGAGAAGGTTCAGACAATGTTGCCACACCATTATCTGAGCCGACTTTAACAATCACTCACCTACATCCAAGTTTTATATCTGACCTTACAGTGACTCTTGAAGGTGACTATGTAGCTACAGGAAGAGAATGTTCCACTACCCGTATATATGACAGAAATTACAAGCTGAAAAGGGACTTGAAAAGAAACTTTTGGAATGTAACCCTGAAAAATGATGGAAATTTAGCATTCACTGATGGCCTTACCAACACAATCAGCATCTATAGCTCACAAGGTGATCATCAAAATGATATAGTCTGCAAAGGAATATCGAAGTTGTGGGGCATTGCAATGGATCCTGCAGGGGAGGAGCTACTGGTGATAGATCACAAGACCAAAAAAGTGTACAGTATTGATCAATCTACTGGAGAGTCCAAGGCTCTATCAGGCTCATTGAACAATCCTCTTCACCTCATGAGTAATAGTAAACAAGTCCACATAATAAGTGACTGGAGTAAACATTACATAGAAGGAATAGCCAGGGATGGTAAACAGGTCTTCAAATACGGTAGCGAAGGGTCTGCTGATGGACAACTCAAGCATCCCTGGGGGGTTTGCAGAGACAAAAGAGATTGTATATTTGTAGCAGACAGTCACAACCAAAGAGTTGTCCTCCTAACACCCACAGGCAGATTCGTGAGGAATGTACTTACAAGAGAAGATGGTTTAAACTGTCCATATGCAGTTACAATTGGCAATGATGGTAAACTTCTTGTAGGAGACAATGATGGCAAACTATTTATCATCAAGTACTGGAAATAAGGTAACTTTAATATTAACAGTTCCATAATGCTCATGGAAAAAGTTATACCTTAACTCAATATTGACATCAATAACATGGATACACAAACATGAGTTCAGGGATAGCAAAGTTCATATACTGTACAAGTTAACACACACATGGCTCATAAATATTTCAATTTTCTAATGTAAACTCCAAAGCTTGATTCCATACTAGATTCAACATGCAAATGTACTTCATTAACATGTGAATAATCTTTGTTGTACAGATTTGAGCTGGAATATATACTGGTCACGGGACATGGGTGTTTTAACAACCCAGATTGGTATCTGACAGATTCAGAGTACACATATATTTTATTAACATGTGAATTATCTATTTTACAGACAAATGAGCCTAAGCTGATAAAGGGTGTACCAACAATGACAAGTTGTGACTACAACTTGGAGTTTATAACAATATAATGATGATGATGCCTTTGAACTAGCAAGTGTGAGCAAACTGGTGGAAAATGACAATTTTGGACTTATGGACAATTAGAGTTCTGTAACATCAATCTAAGATGAAGAACACCATGGGGCTTTCTTGATATAAGTTGTTTGTCTTATAAGGTAATTTAGTACCCTTTGAGTTTGAGAAGTGGAACATTATACGAGACATATTCTCAACATATTTATAAAACTGCATAAACCCTTAAAATGTAATGGAGGACAAGATTTGCCCCAAAAAAATAATTTTCCAGAAACAATCATCAATAGAAAATCAATCATGTTAATTTGAAAAAATTAATAGTTCATATATGTTTTGATGAAAATGGATTTACATATCATTTTACACCAGGTCACCAAAATGAATAATAAAAATGAAAATAATGCTCCATAGTATAACTATAACAATATCATCGTTGGCTCAAGTTTCGCTCATCTATCTCTGGGATCTGGCTATGTCCCTGTATACGATATACACATTACTGAGCATGAATTAATTCGATAGGCCTCTTATATGATTTTGTCAACAAAAAAAAGACATTAACATGCAAAATGTCACAACTTGCCATTTGTTACAGACATGGACCACCAAATGCCATCCACAAAAAGAAACTATAACAAATAACAATATGTGCTGGTAGTGACATAAAAAATATAATATATATGGTAACAAAAAATATTTATGAGATATTAATCTGTTATTTGTGGATATGGAATGAAGTGGGTTGTAAATACCTTGCAAGGGAGGGTTCCATCATTGGTCAGAGTCAGAGGAAGTGCCTCCTTTCTCCCGAGCAATGTTCTTTTATATAACAACAGGGGTTGGCCCTTCTTGTTGCGTACTGTTGGTTTCTGTATTGTAATCCTTGGTAGATTCCCTTCCCCTGAGACCTAAAATACATTTCATAGATGGTAAATCATCATGATGTCTTTTTCAGCAATTCCTTTTTCTGATCATTTAAAATAAATTATTGGAGATATGGTGACATACCTAGGACTGTAATAACAAAAAGTAAGTGGTATTAAACTTGATTAAACTTAAAATTGATTGAACATAAGAAGTTAGTGGCAGGCCTCATCCTCAATAATAGGGATAAATGCTAAGAAAGTGACAATGCTCCAAATACATAAGGGAACTACAGGGTGTCCAAAAGTCTCTTTACAATTACAATTCAAAGTCTGTGTAAAATGTACAGAGACCTTACAGACACCCTGTATATCCCATCTAACTGTCCAAATGACTAGAGGCTACTTTTTGAGGAGCTGAAGGGTTCCAGGCCCGTAGCCAGGATTTGCCAAGGGGGGGGTTCACTTTTTGAAAAATTCCAGGGGGTTCACTTTTGACAGTTTTTGTCCAAAAATGGCTTAAATCACTTAAAACGTGCTCAGAATGATGAAAAAGTGCATGATTTTGTAAAAAAAATTTGGATGGGGGAGGGGGAACCCATCAAACCCCCTGGCTACGGGCCTGGGTTCTTTATTTTATCTAAGCCTAATATATTAGAGAATAATTTACTAACCTCAAATGACAAATTACGTGTCTTGGCTTGGTTCTGAGGTACGCCATCTATAGCAGCTTCAAAATTGGCAGTGAATGTCTGAAAATAAAATATTCAAAGAAACTAATTTTTCAAAACAATAAGTGATCAATTCTGGCAAAATATGAGAAGATTTCTGCCTGAAATTGAATTAGTACAAGACATTAAAGACTTCATTAACTCTTATAAATAAAATATGGTTTATGGGACTTGCACTTTTATTTCATTTGTTATTAACAGTGAAACATGTTAAAAGTGAAACACGTGTTCCACTAACACAGGTTTTACTGTATATGAACTCACCTGCATTGAGGCTGGCATGAATGTAACAGTTGCATATTGGTGTCCATGAGCTGTAATCTGGGCCCTTGTAGGCTCTACCTCAAACACCTCCATAATCTTAGAAGCGTGTTTAGCATGTAGGGGTTTAATAGAAAAGACAACATCGCAAGGGACTTTGTTGGAGTTACTGACTTTGAAGCGAGCTTTGGCTTTCATGCCAACGATGACGTTATTAAAGATGAATCTGTTCTCATCTTCACCAAAGATCCCACCGCTTTCAATCTACAAAGGTCCAAAATAACATGTGAACAACAAGCTCCGATTTATCAATATTGCCACTGAGGTGTATTGACTTTCGGATCAGCCCCTATTATCATAGGATTTAATCCGGTTTATGAAATAATTGATTCAATGCAAGAAATATTAGCCACTTTGATTTCAGTATACAGTTATTCTGAAAAAATATTCATATATATTAAACCATACATAACATCCATTGATAACATGCTGTTATTGCAACTCGGGTTTATACATTTACAAGTTGCATAAAAATTTCAAGATACAGCACTAAAATTGCAATTAAAAGAATCATACCTGGTGGCCATGTTGCCAAACGCTCAGATTTTTCACAACACGGTGCTCCTCAAAGATGGCGCCAATATCAGCTGTGCTGATTGCGGGAATACAAGCCTCTGCTATGAGTCTATATGGGATTCCCTGGGGGTGATCTGCGGGATCTCTATCTGTTATATCCACCGACAACTCCTGAAAGAAATAAACCATATGTGATTACTATTTTAATATTTTTTAAAGTTGCAAAAGTTATTTCACTTGCATCAGCAATAATATCTATAGATATGACAACATAATGAATGGTCAATTCTTGAAGAGGTGTGTATATGTGATTGACCCTTCACCTCTTATGGAGGAGACAAGCTATGGTCGTAATAGTACTGTGATAAACATGGGAGACGATGGCAATAAGGTCAATGGCTTATCAAAATCTATTGAGCAATATTTCAATAATATAAAAAATGTGCAAGTTTTTAAGAGCAGAAGGGTAGGATGATTTTGGACCCAAGAATGTAAAGCCAGTCTACCTTATTTACAAATTTTTGCATAGATTGATGCTATACCTTGATCAATATGGAAATTGTGCAGAGAGGGGTGTATCATTTTATATGTTTTAGTGCATTAAGGAGGGAATCTTAACCAATATGATTTACTAGATTGATATATGGGAGCAGCTTCTTCCCTAGGGTATTTTCTCTCAAGTGGGTGCAAAATTCTCATTTTTACAATCCAGACCAAAATTGGTCAAAATATGCCCATTTTCATAATTTTTCTCACTTTCAAATGGGTGCAAATGGAATTTCAGGTAGGTGCAAGTTTTTTAAAATCTCAGGTGGGTGATGTGCCCTTTTGCTTTAATGCTGGGGAGATCACTGAGGAGTTTGAATACCTGTCTACCAGCTCCAGGCTGTTAAATTAAACAATAAACAGTCAGTAAAAACTCATCTAGCATTTAAAATCATTTGAAAATCTTTCTGAATTTCCAATTGAACTGAAATTATTTCTCATCTTTCATCATGATTAACCATATTGTGGCCACCCAAGTTCTTGCGAGACAGAGATACCTGATTGTCACAATTTAAAAAAAAATTATTTCTCTCATCGTGCATTTTTTCAACCATTCTGACTTTATTTCAGAACAATCCTTTGATTTTTATCTGTTGGAAAAATTGAAAAACGAGATATAACAAACTACAATATCGATTCCTAAAAGTTCATTCCAACCTCAGAAATACAATTTTTTTCAAAAATCTCACCTCGTCACATCTGCCAGGTTGTTCAGTGATACAGTCGACAGTCACAGTCTGGTGGCCATTGGGCAAGATCAGACCAAATGCTGGGAAGATCGTAAACATCCCAACAACCAATCTGGATTGGTTACCTTGACCTATATCTTGTCTGAAAATAATATATACTGTTTGTTGATATTTGGGTAATGTAGAAAACGTGGAATTGTGAATCAAGAATCAATTGAATAGAAATTACCCGTGAAGTATGGACAATAGATGTGAGCTTTTCATTGTCATTTTTATTCATATTTAGGTGCATTAGGTGCCGCATAATGTGACGAAAGGAACAAATACTTGGTTTGCCTTGTTTGAGTTAAAAGTGATGTGAATATAAATATGTGGATATACATAGGCATAATGTTTAAAGGGACAATATCTGTATTATTTGATTCTAAAATTTGCTCAAAATAGCCAACAGACAATGCCCCTTTAAGTTAAAGAAATATGTACTTCATTTCAATTTGTGAATAAACAACAAAACAAAAATAGTACACATAGTTACAATTTGTAAATACAATGTTTTTACAAAAACAACAGTGCAAACATTAAACTAATTCACTATAATAAGGTTCTTTGGTTCTAGGGGCTACCAATAGGTGTCACTTCCTACCTGAACTTTTTTACTTGCAACATGTTTGCAGGCCTTGAGGGAGGTTGGGCTGTGGTTATAGTACTACCTACATCACTAGTTAAACAAAGCAGGCAGATAGGGGTTAACATGTATAAAAAGAGTTAAGAAGTTAGATATACATACAATAATGAAGCAAATATCAGAGGATTATACAAAACAGGAAAACTACATATAGACTTTCCCAACAATTGCTGTGTTATTTTGTTGCAACAATAAAACTGGATGTGTTTGCTAGATTTGCGATTAATGATATTAATTTACACCCAAACAGATTGGTTGATCAACTGAAGGTTTGACAGTTAAAGTAATTGACAGAAAGTAAACTGGTTAACCATCAACAGCCCTATTTCTGATGTCATAGGTTGTACAGTAAGTAGCGTGTTTTCAAGGATAAAATAACTTCTTAGAAAATGTTAATTGTAAAAATTGCTACTACAACATATGACATCATTGTTCTGTTTTTCATACAATCCTAAGCCAGGTAATAAATGCTGATTTACAAAAACCTGACAATTAGGATCATATAAAAATCTGGCCTCAGGTATCAAGAAGGACTTGTTGTTAATTGAAACCTTGTATTCAATGCAATGTCAAATCTACAGAAATAGGGTCTAAGGGTCTAATGGGGTTAACTATTTAGGTTATTAATAAATAAAGGGTTCTTTGCATAAAGGGTTCATTCTATCAAGTGAAATTCTCTTTTAATTGCAACCTTTTCAGATTAGATGTACTAAGGTTAAAACATTCATTTTTAAGTACAGCAGATTTACAGAAAGCAAAGCTCCAAATTGAAACAATACTGAAATGCATACTAAAAAACTAAATAAAGCCATCTATGTAAATGGTTAAAACTAAAAACAACTGCACACATTATTTAAACACTCATTTTATACAAAACACTTGACAGAAACAATATTTACCTGATCGAGTCTGCTCTTCGGGGTCTGGCTACAGAACGACCTGAGCTTGATCCATCTCGTGATTTGCTACGTTTATCTCCCTTGACTGGCCTACAAATAACAAGAAATATTTACTTTTATAAAAATTTTTTACAAACACCTAGCACTGACTGCTAAGAGCCAGTCACAAAATTGGTAGCAATAACAATATGGCAGATCTTATATAATATAAGTGGTGACATAATAAAACTAAAATACTTCAATTTACAACTACATGTACAATTTATCCTGTAAGCATAATGTTTCTGGAAAATTTGGAAAACACTCTGATTACGTGATTCGAAAATTAAAGGATGACCTTTATTAACATGAGATCTACTTACGGTCTAGCTCTGATCTCTTTATCTTCTTTCCTCTCACGTTTTGTGATGGTATACTTGAAGTCAAACTCTCCCTTGTTCTCTATTGTGAACGTCCTCGTCTTCTTGCTGTTTACAAGTAGGGAGCCAAAGTTGATGTCGTTGATAGGGAATATGTTGTACCTGAAATAAGTAAGAACTCCCATTTAGCATCTAAATTTTTTAATCATTTGAACTTAATTTTAATTTAATTGCTATTAAACAAATTTCATTGGATTTTGTTTTGTAATTTCAACACATTCAAACAATGCAGGAAAAAACAAACAAAAGTTATTTACAAAATTTCAGTATCTTACTCAACACTCATGTGTTCTCTTTATAAGCAAAATGTACACATGTTCAAGTTTGGGCCATTTTTTCTCGAAAATAAATTGCTAATATTTTGTGATCATGCTCATCAAGTACAAGACATCCTTAATCTTGCACTTTAAAAAAGTGTGACAAAATATACTTACTTGTTAAAGACTGAGCGTACAGTGATCTTGACTGGAATACTGGCAATAGTTTCCCCTCCACCTATATTTGGCTCAATAACCTGGCACTTCAAGATTGGCATTTCTTTCACAGTTGTTTCCTTTGAAGACTTGAATATCACTTGTACAGGTGTGGGACGATCTATTGGTGTTAGAACTCCCTTATTTGGTAATACGGAGAACAGATCACATATCTCCTGGGGGCAACCTTCGCATGGCTCAAATGTGAAACTGAAAAAAATTACAATTGAAAAAATCATTACTTCTTGCTTGGACTTAGTAATATTCTGCTTAATGTTCCTACTTTATTCAGATTTTCCCACAATACAATAAAATCATCATTTAATATGTATAGTAAAATCTGTATATCCAGACCCCTCTCTAACCAGGACACCTCTAAATGTGAACACCTTTCTCTGTTCTCTTTGTGTATAATCTGTAAACACTTGAATATTCTCTGTCTTTACCAGTCCCATAAATCACAAAAAATAAAATAAATGAAAAACACTGAATTTCAAGAAAGTTAACTTACCTGTAAGCAATATCATATCTGCCTTTGTTCTTCAATGTGCATTGCTGCTTAGTTTCATCCATAACTCTGATAACACCAAAGTCAATCCCTCCATCAGCACCCTTAGGGAAACTCATATCAAGAGCAACATCATAGGCTTCTGCATGTACCTGAATAGTCTCGGTCTGCACCAATCCCATAATGCCCTCAACATCTGATACTTCCAGACGGATTGCCTTTTTATTGGTTGTCACAGCCTTTAGGGCTCGGAAATGAGCATTCAGTCCGAATTCAGATTTTGCTTCAATGATGCCACTGTCATTTGAAACGGAGAAATCTTCCCCAAGGTTTTCCAAGCCGCTGATTTTCCATGCTACTGGTAGAAGTGTGCTGTTGCGCAGATAGATGGTCTTGGTGTCTTTCCTGTGTAGCAAGACTTTGTCAAAATGTAGGACTTTTTTATCGAGTTCAAGTTCTGGTCTAACGCCATCGCAGGAGATGTTGAATATGATTGGCTCTGGGTTTTCTCTGATGCAACACACAATAGAATCTTCGTAGCGTCCTGGTGTCTTTGGATATGCCCAAATAAGAAGCTCCTGGAATGAACAATTTATATAGACATTAAATATTACGTAACAATATCTATACTGCCAGGTAAACTTATAGGCAATTCATATTCCTAATGGATAGCTGATGAATATATACCCTAAATAAGGCAGTTGAAAAGACAGCAACAGTGTTCAATTTAAAAATTGTTCCCATGAATGGAGTTATGAGACTTTTCTTGCAAAAAGCTGTAGAAGATCCAATGAGAACCATTCTATGGAATAATTATGATATCTTACCCCTTCTTCTCCAGGTTTCAGTATAAGGTTAGATGGTTCCAGTAGGTAAGTCTCTGCTTTGCTATCTGACAGGAAGCAGAAACTTATATCAGCCTCTAGCGGGGATGTATTGTGGACGACTAGTTTCTCCATGTTCTCTGGGTATCTGCCTTCTTTGTACCTAGAATCAGAGAGCATTGCTTTGATGGGACTCCTTCACTTTTTCTAAGTAGCACATGTTTCAACCAAGGGCGGTACAATACCCAGGAATTTTTCGTTCAGTACATTTCTATTATAGTGCTCCCTCTTTAGGCAGTGAGCGCTTTGCTTACCAGTGTAATAAATAATATTGGATAATAACATTTATGCGTGCGCGCGCAGCTCATCCACTGAACGAAATGAAACTTCCCGCTGAAATCACTGGGTATTGATTTTTCCCTTGTTTAAACACAGGCTGAAATACACACTTAAATGAACAGGATAAAGACCTTTAGAATAACAGGTCGAATGTTTTTTTTCTTGGATGAAGAGATCCAGGGCAGGAGTTTATATTGAAAAATATGGGATGGATTGTGCATTTCAGGCCCTTTAACCTCTTGAATCCCAGGCTCTAAAATGGGTTGAAACCAGAGAATTTTTCATTTTTGCCACCTTTTGACATTTTACTAAATTTACTATACAACCTAAGATGAGACGGCAGAGATCATTTCTACACATTTTAAAACAATTTTTGTGTAAATTGGATAAAAATTGTTCAAATAAGAGCAATTTTAGTGAAAAATTTGGTGACAGATTTTCTCGTCACTCTGGGTTTCAAGGTCATTTCGGTGGTGATGAGAAATGTATTTCACAATGGAACAATAGTATCACCAATATATCATTTAACTGTGTCTTTAATATGTTGACCTCCAGTTTTTACCTATCTCTTGGTTTCCCAACCAATAGAGGTCCAAAGTCAAAGGTCTCATCAGTTAGGATGTATTTCTTGTGGACAATCTCATCTGACTTCTTGTTCTTCTTACGATGAGGGAACACAATCCTAAAGAGAATAAAACATCATTGAATTAAAGCCAAACTACATCAATAGAGTAACAAGCCAAGTTCATAGACACTAGATTTCGACACATCAATTTTCAATACAGCCTAACCACATTATTAAAGTGACCAGCATAGTTATCTATATAAACAAGATTTCTAGTGGATCTTTTTGTAATTTTGATTTCTTATTTTCTGCTTAATAATATTTGAAATTGAATTGAATTGAACAATCATTATTTGGTAATTTAACATTTTCCCATTCTGTTCTACATTTTTGAAAACAGTTGAATACTTGAATACAGTTGAATACTTGAATCATTGAATACCTTGGTTCTCTGCTGATAGTGGGGAATGCACAGACACCCCGACAGAACAACTGGTAGCGCCTCCTAGTGCCCATGATCTCAAAGTTCAGGGTCTGGTCAAACTGACCGAGTTCCTCAGACACAAAGCGCAGCTTTAGGACGCATTCTCCATTAGCTGGCACAATCCATCTGAATGTTCCTAGTCTGAAATGGGTGAAATACATATTTGTGAAAAAGAGTGTGGTGAAATACAGTTTAGTGAACTATGAAAAGATAAAATACATATTTGTGAAAAACAGTGTGGTGAAATACAGTTTAGTGAAATATGAAAGGATGAAATGTGAAATACAATTTAGTTAAATATAGCTCATCAAATACGGGTTGCTTAAATAACATCTTAATATCACAGGTTATACACTATATTTCAAACACTGTCACAATCACCTTCACCCCCAAAATGCAATCTGATTTTCGATGCCGTTTCGGTGCCAAATTCCGGTGCCGTTTCGGCACCAAATGGACTGACTAGTCCGGTGGCAAATTTTGGTGTCAAAAGGTTTCGGTGCCGGAACGGTGCCAAAACAGTGCCGGAACAGCGCCAAATGTTTTCGATGCCGAAATGGCGCCGAATTATATTGGCTGTGTAGGGGGATGCAAGGGTTTTATTTTATTAACTGTAAGTGAAGAATATACATTGTACAAACACTATAAGAGCATAACAGAAAGAAGGGTTCTTGAAAGAAGAAAATGCATTAACTTGGGTGTAAAATTAAAAAGTAAGTTTTTCCTAAGAGTACACTGTGTGAGTTCAAAATACATTGATTGAATATGACTCTACATAATATACACCCACAATACAAAATTTTCAATTGATAGAAAATGATGTTTTCCTCTTAATACAAAACAATAATAGGAGCAATATTAGTAGGAAATATAATATACTATTTTTAAAAAGGGTAAAAAGGCACAGGTGTTCAATTTATCCTATACATAGGCATAGGAAGGACATGTTATTGAAAATCAAAGAAACATAAGTAGGAGACAGTGCAATGGTGACACAATGTGCACAAATTTTTATCAAGATAGTGTTGTGTCAAACCTATAGAGCAAGGCAAAAAGAACGAAAAAGCAAAATAAGCAAAAAGAATTAATAAGAATTATCTAAATGGCTTTTTAATCATCTACAATCAAAACAAATCAAAAGTTATCACTCATGCAAAATGAACACATGAAACACAAAACTAAAAGCTGATTGGTCAAAAGGCTACAACAGGAGTATGGACCTGGGAAGGAACCACCTCCTGTGTTAATCCATGAAGATAAATCATTACAGTCATGTTCAGTTCTTGCCATTTCTCTCAAAATCTAGAATGAAATGTCTGATTTTCTTGCATTTCTGTACAATTGAAAGTCTTCCTTACAAGCTTAAATAATTCATTACTTGCAAATTTCATTCTTTTTCTCTCTATTTGGCATTTTAAACGATGACTGTTATGAGAATGAAATCACAGAAACTTACTTCGGGTTGTTGGAATCAACAATGGCTACTCCAACATTGTCTGTGATTGTGCTGCAAGTTATAGCAACAAACAAATTCTAAAGGCAATTCTAAAAACATGTTTTACAGTAAAACCTCTCAATGTGAGCACTCTGATTGAAATATTGGTACTTTTAATTATTTGACATGAAACATGTTCAAGCATATCGGTACACATCATCAAATATAAATATATCAGAATGTACTTCATTAAAATGTAAATCAATTACTGAGATGCAAGTATCTAGTTACTATGGAAGTGTACCAGACAGAAATTGCATTTTCAAAAATACGAGAATTTCAAAGTTGATATCCAATTTAATAAAAAAAAATTCAGATGTATTGAATTTCAAATATGATCATGTTGACTGAATTCTGAATATAAATTCTGAAAACCAAGACTATGACTACTGTAGTCTATCTAATTGATTACTGTAGTCTACTGTCATCTATCTAATTAATCTATAGATACATGTCAAATCAGATAAAAACACCTTTTTAATCTAGTGTTCACATTAGAAGGTTTTACTATAACAGGAGCAATACATATCATGCAAAAATATCTGGTTTTCTAAATGGAAAATATGAATATATCAATCCACAAGAAAACCAAAGCGTTTTTAAACATGCATACTTGAAATAGTTTGATAAATGTCTCAACAACAATAGCATAACCCAAAAAAAAATCAATAGGATATCATTTTCTTCAGCTTATTGATATTGATATCAGCAAAAGTGACTGAATGATATTTAAATCAGCTCATTTATTTAAAGGATATTATCACATGTGATATCAAAGAGATTATTACCCATTGAGACATTTACCAAAACTCAACCCATAAAATATTTTTCATGCTCAGCAATGAAAAAATGTTTCATTAAAATAATAGCTTTCTACAGTTGAAGTATAAAATACAGATCTACACACAGCAAATTATGCATTCATATATCTAACATTGTACAGTATTTATATAAACAGTACATGTATAGGGTGTCCAAAAAGTTTTGACATCGACTTGAACTCGACTTGGTCTCTTTGGAAAGTTTAAGACAAAGTGGGCAAGTGACAAAGATTGCAATGCTATTAATGTAAACCTTTCATCAAAACTTTTCAAACACCTTGTAAATATGTCACAGTCCGACAAAGATGCACAAGAAATCACAGAACTCATAAGGATATCTCTATTAAAGGACCTTATTAGCTATGTTTTCTTGTAGTTATTCCCAAGACTAACTCACAATCTAGAAATTAATTCCAAATCCAAACTACAAGTACTAATAAAACATTTTGAAAATGTTTATAAAGCCATGCATTTAATTGCGCTTCTCATTTATGTTTTAGATCATTATTTAGGATAAAGCTTTTTTTTATGAATTGCCTCACATGAAATATCTGATTGATATTCTGCCTTTTATGTCAAGGAACTTGTGTTAAACTATTCGCATGACTGAATTCAATGAACTATGGATAAGGTTCTTGTGTTTAAATCATCAATCAATGCCATCAGGTTTTCACTCAGTATATGCTTTTTACACACGATTGGCATTACATTCTCATAAAAATAAACACTTTACATGACAAAGTTTCATAATGATCTATACATAAATGGCTAAAGTAAACACGACTTAAAAATTAAACCAGAGAATTTTACTTTGCTGACATACCTCAAGGCATCTCCGTCAGAAACTGGTGTTTGGGCACCAGGTGGTGGTGACATCACACTGGCGGAGGATCGTCTGCCGATGTTCTTTGATTTACCAGCGCTGCTCTGACGTTTGTCTTTCTTGCTCTCAGCTTTCAGTTTATCTTTGCCTAAATGTTGGAATTAAAATTTCAAAAATTGTGACCCTAAATAACCTTTTTAAATTACTAATCCCTCATACGCAGTTTTGAGGTTTTAATCATATTAGGATGTCTATGTGTATGAATTTTTGAACATCAAAGAAACTTAAGAAAATATTTAAGATTTAATAAACATCAATAATTCTGCTCAGGTAACGCTAAAACCATTTTCTATTGCTATTTTATAATCATTTTACAATACGGTTCATTATACCATTTTTACAATATACATGTACAATTAACCATTTGTTCTTTGAACTTGAAATCATATGATTTCAAATGGAGATATTCTTCTGTTGTTAAAGCATTCACCTTTGCCTCTGGTAGGTGTAGTATGGTCATCTCTTCCTTTACCATCTGGTGTGGCAGATTTCTCTTCTTCCTGTTCAGATTCCTTTGGTTTCTCTTCTCGAGCAATATTACTGGATAAGAAATAAGTGAGGTTGGATATTTTAAGATAATTTAAAGGAGTCACCTGGAACTACTACTACTTCTAATATTAAACTACAAAGAGGCTCTAGTGTCTCGAGGAACATTCCTTTTCATGAGAATTTAGAATTGCAGTGATCATCAATTTTTTCTAAGATGAGAAAGCAACATATGCAATATACATTATTGAAGGAAGAAAATAAACTAGAAACATTAAAAAAAAAAGATCACTGTACTTACGGGTCATCAGGGTGGGATGCTACAAATATGTAATGTCCTGATTCTGCAGCCGCCTGAGGGGCATGACGTTTCACAGGGTAGGGCACAACCTGGAACTCTGCAGGGGGTGGGATAGGGGGTCCTCTGGGGCCCAGGCCTAATCCATCTAATACCTGGTGAAAATAAACATGCATTTCAGTTATAAAGATCTTAAAGACAAGTTGTTTGGATTACGTATAAATGTAGTTTTTGCATAATAAAAAACAAAGGGCCAAATTGAAGGGAGGAAATAATTCCCAGAGAACCATGATTTCTTACCTCTTCTACTGAAGGGAGTGTACCAGTCTCTATGGCACGTATGCCCGGAGCAGCCTCATCTGCACAGTTTAACTGCAGGTGGTTGATCCCTATTCCATCATCAAGTCTGTCCCTGCTCTCTGCTTTACCTTTCATAGGGCACTCACTCACATCCTGGTCAGGGTCTAATGTGTCAGCCTGGCTTGGTGCAGCCTTATGAAAGGAAAGATGTTAAATATTCATGTAGTGTATTTAATGAGATATATTTCTGGAATAATTGACATTAATTGAAAATAATTTTTTCTGGATTGATATTACATGGCACATCATTATTTCTACATCCAACTAAGAGATGTCCAAAATTGGTCGAAATATGTAAAATGTTCTCAATTTTCCAACATAAATGCATATATATTTTTAACTCTGTAAAAGGTTATATTATTGCAGTGCCCAATTATTTCAACAATTGCAAAGGAAACTGATCAGAATATAACATCAAAGGTTGAAATCTAAAAAAGTGTATAGACAAACATATACCTCTTTGTCAAGTTTATCTTTTTTGTCATGTTCATTTTGCTTGTCCTTGCCAGCTTTATCCTTCCTATCTTTGTTGTCTTTATCATGTTTGTCTGCAGAAAAGTAAAAATTAATCAAATGTTTGCACATGAATGAGAATATCAAAAATAAAGTTAAACTTTAAACAAGGCACATGCAAAATGTCACCACCTGTCATTTGTTACAGATGTCAACTGCCAAACATCATTCACAAAAAAGGTTGGAGGCATAAACCACTTGTGGTGGTGACATAAAAATGTTGAAGTTGTATTGGAAATTACTTTATTTTTATAATGACTCATAAAGGTTGATCTTTTTTTGATAATTACATCATTTAGTCCACTCCTGGATCCAAATAACAAGTTACTTCCAATATAAAGAACATTGTCAATACCTTTTCCATGGTCTTTTCCTTTCATTTTCCTGCCAGATGTAAGATGAGCATCATCGAGTTCAGATCCAGCAGATGGTGTTATTGGTCGCTTCAACGTCAGAGTCATCCTATCCCAGAAATCTGCGATATCACAGATCTCTTTCTGAGTCACCTCAAATGTCCTGAACCTGAAAGGTCAAGGTCGTTTTAATACATAACTCCAAGATGAGGGAATAACCTCCCAGGAAACCAAGACACTATCCTAAATGTCAATCAATATTCTAAATTTATTTTGGAGAACCAAATCACCTGAAAATGTATGATCAAGTTTAAAATATATTTGCATAAATACCTTTGCATAAGCAGTCTTTCTTCTTCACTGATTTCTGGTTTTTGGGGTTCCTCAGGGGGTAATGGGATGTCCTTTGTTGCATCATGGGAAACAGGCCTCTTTCCCTCTTTGCTGCCCTCTTTCTTCTTTTTCCTGAAGCAAAAAATATTTGAATTCCTTTATCATCTATTATACTAAGATTCATGTGAACAAAGCAAATATTGTAAATACAATGTTGATGGTTAATTATAAGCACATTAAATCATTAAATTATTAGAAATCAATTTGTTATAAAATGTTATCGCTGGATTTAGTTATTTATTAAATGTGCAAGCAAATTGTTATTTTATCACATTAATGCTAAAAATAATTATGCTTTAAAAATTGTCAATCTTAAATATTACTATAAGATTTCTCTCTTGTCAAATAAATTCATTTCTCTTTAAAATTTCCTCTCAAATTTTCAAGTATTTCTGGACAATTTGGAGTACAGTAAAACGTGTCTCAGTGAAACCTCCCTCTAGTGAGCACTTGTGTCTAGTGAATAACTCTTCTCAAAACATACTCCACTGACTTCTGTATAAAATGGTCTATCTGTAGTAAACACCTAGTTATAGTGAACACATTTTTGTGGCTCCATAGGTGTTCACTGTTCACAGGTTTTACTGTATTTCTATATCTCTATTCCTTGTCAACACCTCTATGTTTAAGTCTATTTTGTATTTATTGTAAAACATGACTTTAATGACATGAACTTTACTCTAGCTTCTTATTCTATATTTTAGTAATCTAGGTGTTAATTTACAATTTAAATATGTACTAAATCAAGTACTTTTCATGACTAAATACTCCCTAAAAGCTTCTAGACTTAAAATTTATTTTCAAAAAGTACACAAAGTACAGTATGTAACATGACTGACTATCTTAAAGCATTAACAAGGGTTTTTGAAAATTGCAAAAAGTTATCTATTATTGACTAAAGTCTTCTGAAAAATAAACAAAATTGAAAAAAATAAATACTATTCTGAAATTTAGATATTAGTTTTCTAAATCATCAAGCTCTTCAAGGGTATTTCAAAAGTCTAACTTCTACTAAAAAAAAAAGTTTTGAAAACACTGAAATTCCTATACTAGGGAAAAATATGCACTAGCTCATATAAACTAAAATGCAATCAATGAAAGCCATGTTTCTCTGTGATAGTGAAATACAAAATGAAGAAAGACATAGAGTGATATCAGCTTCAAGAAAAAAATAATTGTTCAAAATTTACCAGAAATATGGAGTCTTTTGAAAAGGATATGACAACATGACATTTTAAGTATAATATTAGTTTTTCCAAATGTCATACATTGACAAAAAATCCATATTTGACCCCATTGCCCACATCCAAAATGTAGCATTGTTTGTTTTCTGTTAGTTCTACACTGTATTTTTTTAACTGACATTGCCCATTTTAGAACTGAAATTGGCCTTTTTAGAATTGTGTTTGATTGAAATTGACATTGTTTAGGCCTTTTTAGTAAGAAATTGGCCTTTTCAAAAAATGAAGGTGGCCCTTTTCAGATATGAAATTGACCTTTTCTAAAAACGCGGTAAGTGAAATTGACCTTTTCAGATTTTTTTGAAATGAAATTGGCCTTTTAATAAACTGAATTTGTTTTTTAGACCTGATATTGGCTTTTTAGAAATGAACACAAACATAAATTGAAATGTTTTCCTTGTGACATATGGACATAATCTTATAGTAATATTTGAGAATAACCCAGCCTTATGTGTTGACTAAAAATGACACCATTAGGCTGACATCCAGGAGATGATATCACAAGGATGACATCCATTAAAATTAATGAACTTTAATTATAGTGAATTATTAATAGTACAGCATAGATTAAATAACAAAACACTGTTAGTCACATTAACATATAAATCAAAATGATTCATATTTCACTTGTGTCTTTTGCAATAACAAATGTTATTTTAAAAGCAGGCCTTTTTGGTCATGAATGAACGTGGCATGATGTCAACACGGTATGGAATTTATTTTGTATCAAAATTGGACATTACATGATCTATGGGAAAAATCGAACTATATGATGCGATACTCGAACTATATGATTCAAAACTCGCATCACACTATGCGAAATATGCATCATTGTATGCGAAACTCGCATCATCGTATGCCATTTTCAATCCATGTTATACCAATGGTTAATTTTCTTACATAACTTATTTTCATTCACACACGCACTGGTTGTATCAAGTGTCACACAAAGAGTTAGCACTAACTCCAATCACTTTCCAAAAATCCAAAAGCAATGTTGAAATGTCACACGGATTGTGTTATAAGTGGCATAGGATACTGAAAGAATTACACTTGGATCAAAGTAAATTTCGAATGAACGTGTCAATTTTACACACGCATTGAGTTCAAACTCGCATAGGATGGTTCCCGCTCGCATAGGCTGTCACAAACAAGTTGCACTTCACACAGGGTGCGAGATTTGAAATCACGTGACATTTGCATCCTGGTTTCTACAATACACCGCCCTCCGTTGAAATGTTATAAAATGTAAATTTCAAATTAAAAATATATAATTTAGCTTAGCTAGGGAGACGTACACGTGGCCATTTATTGAGAAACTACAAACTAGATCTTTTTATCTTTTTGCCGCACTGATGTGTTATTTCGTTCAGTGCAAAAGTAACGTGAGATTTAGAAGAAAATCTCGAACATCTCTAGAAAGCTGTTACATTAAGATGTGTGATCGGTACATCAAGGTGTGTGGTCGGCAAATCATGGTTTGTGAAGGGAAAAACGTTTGTGTGAGCCGCATAAGCATTTGTTCGACTTGTGTACCCTGTTCGATGTCATTTTTAAACAATGCATACACAAATACGCATGTACAAGTGTGATTTTACAAACATAGAGTGTGCAAACTCGAACAAACCGTGTATGAAATCACACGGATTGTGTATGTATTCTACTAAACCCTATTCAATGCGTTAGAGATATCACATAAATATAATATGTCCAATTTTGATACAGTTTTAACACCATAACACGGTAGCCTGACAATCGCCACAAGTGTATTTTAACATACTTCCATGGGAGGTACATAATACAACCAAGACGTTTCCATTCAATTTTAAAATGAGTTCAAAAACCAAACCATAGATCTATTTTTAATGGGCTTACCAGCCTTTTGCAGATTACAGATATAGACATAGGCAAATATGGCCTAAATGACCCAGATGGGCCAACAAGATTGTATGAATCATTTTGCAAGCATGTTGATTGATTATGTATGAATGACCAACTCAATGAGTGAAGTGAACAAATCAACAGTTGAAGTGAACAAATCAATGGTTGAAAGAGATCTGAACTTAAAAGATGAACTGGAGAAATTAATAGTTGAACTGAATAATGCAATGGTTGAAATAAACGGTTGAAATATACAGTTCAATGGTTGAAATGAACACTTCAATGGTTGAAATGAACACTTCAATGATTTGTAAACAGCTCAATGGTTGAATTGTTTCATTCATACAATAATACAGAGGATGTCCAGATGTTATTAGCCAACCTTGTACATTACAAGATGCCCTAATAATATGAGCCACCCTCATTCACTACAGTATTTAAAACACAAACACATACGTTGTTGATGTTATATGAGATTTAAACTCTGTCTTGGCTTCCATAACTTTTACCAAACCCCCGGCTGTTAGGACCTTACTGTAGGTTGAACAACACATATGCAAGAGTTTAGAAAAAATGCTGATTGAATGCATTTATGTAATTTCTTACACACTTCCCATTGTTCTAACTCTCCATGACACTGCCAATCTAGGATAGGGGCAGGGTTGGGGGAACATTAAACAAGTCAAGAATACAATACAAATATTTTACAAACATTTTCACAATACTGGACACTTTGTAGAAGTTCTTGTGAAAATGTCTATAAAAAACAAAATTGATAACTAACAATGTTAACGAAATAAAATCTGCTTTAACCCTTATCTGCCTAAGGTATTTATAAAAGTTGACCAATTTTGCAGCATATTGCAACTTTTAACCCATATAATTTCCTGAGCACAGTAGTTCACTAAAGAATCGTATTATAAAAATATAGAATTCCCGAGGCAGTAAAGGGTTAAAAACATAACACAAGTGTAAACTACCTCATAGCAGATGACACTCTTAAAACTTTCATCATTACCCCCACAGGAACACTAAAGCAGGGGTTAAAGGGTTAAACATAAAAGCTTAAAACATTATAAGGGTTAAAGTCACATGCAATGGTTTTACAGTGAAGGGACTGAGCCATACAGTGCCAAACTACATGGGTACAGTGCTGGTAGAAATGTGCATTAATTTTATTAAAATTGTAATATGTGCAACCATAAACACAGCCAAGCAATACTAATCAACGAAATATGTTAGATTGAAGCAGACATTCTATACAAGCGAAATTGAAGAGCAATAATAAAATCAATCTTTCGCGCAAGCCACACAAAATCACATGGACATAATCTGACACGTTTTATTGGGGCTATGAGACTGGTGTTAAATGGTTATATGTAAAAACAGCTGTATACTTTACATAGAGCTTGGGGTAATAGACTTATTTGGAAAAAGTATCAATATAGTGATTCCACACCCGGTGATCGTGAATATGGGACGGAGGGGGGGGAGCAGGCAATTTCTGCTAGGAAATTCAACAAATCTGGAAGATTTATTTTTTCAAGAAAAAGTTTACTATTGAATTGCTAAATGGATAGGCACACGGTATGGTAGAATATGTTAGGTTTTCTGGGATTTTTTCTGAAACGATACGCATCTTAGGTAGATCTATTAAAAAAGGTGCAAGGCCATCAACAGGCACAAATCAATGTTTTTGCTATAAATCAAACAGCAATGGTCTGGACGACCTGTAATAAATACTTGTAAGTGATGTTATCATAACTAAATTAATGTCATTGCTGAATTTATAAAATAAGTTTCCATATGTGAAATAAAAAATAATCGAAAATAATGAATTTGGGACGGAGGGGGGGAGGGGATGGAGGGGGGGGAGCAATATGTATATAAGACATGATTAGAGATGTTTCGCGACTTTAAGTCCTTTTACTCCAAATGTCCCCATTTTTCAGTCTCCAGGGGTATATCATCCAGTTTCTTACTAAGTTAATGAGTTCATTTTTCAAATACAAGATTTCGTGTGAAGTTGTTTCACTTTATAGAATTATTACTCCCCCCTCCGTCCCCTCCCCCCCTCCGTCCCATTTTAATTATTTTCGATTATTTTTTATTTTGCGTATGGAAACCTATTTTATAAATTCAGCAAAGACATTAATTTAGTTATGATAACATCACTTACAAGTATTTATTACAGGTCGTGTAGTCCATTGTTGCTTGATTTATAGCAAAAACTTTGACTTTTGCACGTTGGTTGCGTTGCGCCTTTTTTAATAGATCTTATTACTTAAAAGAGTATCGGTTGAAAAATAATCCTAGAATACCTAACATATTTTATCATACCGTGCGCCTATTCAATTTGCAATTCAATCGTAAACTCTGTCTTGAAAAAATAATTTTACCAGATTTGTTGAATTTTCTTGCGGAAATTGCCTGCTCCCCCCTCCGTCCCATTTAAACGATCACCGGGTGTGGATTCTGTGAAGTGGAAAACCTCTAGAAGTTGAACACCTCTGTAAGTAGAAGACTTTTCAAAGTCCAAAGACCAACTGACTAAATGTTCAATGAATCTTTATAAGTGGAACACCTCACAAGTGGAACACTTTTAGAGGTACCAAATGTGTTCGACTTAGACAGGTTTAACTATGCTATCAATTAAGTGATTAATTCAAATGATTAATTTAGTCCAATATTACAAGCTCCATATATGCATTAAGCTGCATAAAAATGGATTCCAAGAAGGTTCAAACACCACTTTATAGAAAACTTGTTAGATCTACAAATGAGAAAAAACGTTAATGTGTTATCTCACGCCTGTAAAAGTAATAACGAGGCATTAACATGCAAAATATCACCACCTGACATTTGTTACAGATGCCGAACCCGAGATGCCATCTGCCATCACAAAAATGGAGATCATAACAATATGTCACCACTTATGGTGGTGACATAATAAAAAGTTAGGAGAAACTCCATGATTAAGAAAGGAAAAAGAATGAAACAGAGAAGAATTCGCAAGAAATAATGTAATGAACAAAACATGTGTGGCCTTAAACTAAACTGCAGGGAAAAACCATATTTCTCTAAAAAGTGTCAAGTAAATATCTGTTTACTTTATTCTTGCTAAATTCTTTCCATTTCACTCTTTATTCTAAATAAGACAATCATCAAATCTTTCTAATGTGACATATCTAGTAAAGAAACATTCAGCAGATATATAATATGACACTATGATATGACACCTTTTTAAGTCATCTTTAGCTGTACTAGCCATACTGGACCTAAAATAGCAACACATAATATGCAAACAGGAAAACTGGGGCTCATATTAATTGTGGTCTGCAGGTCATTTCAGGCTGTCTTTAATAGGAACTTTGTATGAAAGATGACATGAAATCACATAGCCCCATACTTGGATGATGAAATTGAAAATAAATATTTGTGATTTAAAAAACACCCACTATCATATATATAACACACAGTGTGCAGTCTTTAGATGTTACAACACTATTTGATGAGGAAAATGTGAAAATTATGTGGTGTCAAAATTATAAAATCAAATAATTGTGCAACTACATCCTTAAGTTAGGCAGAGTAGATTGAGCAATATGGCTAATTAACATATTAATGAACAATTAACATTAATTATTACTAATTGATGTTTCACAGAAAAAAGCATTCCACTCTGCCTATCTTTAAATCCCAATATGGTCATGCTTATTTAAATTTATACAATTAATTTCCCTATGGGGAAAAAATTTCTCTACATTTTCTCATTCTTTTGCATTTTTATATGATGATTCAACATGACCAGCTTGGCATTTTACAGTAAATTCATGCATCATGTACGTGCTATAATTCACTAGTTTGTATGTTTGAAATTCCACTTACTTTCCATCCCCTACATGTAGTTCACTACTTTCAGTGGCGTGTGATTCTGGTCGATCACCATAAGCAGATGGCGCTTTTCCAACTTGGTGGTCACTATCGTGTGGTTTTGGGCCTCCACGTGAAGTCAATGACGTCCCCATACGGTCAGCACTTTGGGCTGCCCCAGTCTTTCCTTTGTCTGGTTTCTTATCTTTAGGGTCATTTCCCTTGTTACGCCCTTTCTTTTTGCTTGCCTTTTCTTCCTCTAGGCGGCGCTGCTCAGCTTCCCATATTTCACGATCACGGCGTTCCCTTTCCATTTTTTCTTCCATTTCTCTGTAAGTTTTTATCAAACGTGTAAAATATTCTTATATTTGTTCATTTTTTCCATTCTTCTTATTCTGACCAATTCATAGATTTGCACTCTAAAGATATGTACAATGAATAAAGTTTATTATTTTTGGAAGAAACAATGTACATTTTCCCTTTGACAATTTTTGTTTCTCTATTGTGAACAATCTATTTCACTGTTTTATAATTCCGCATAACATCTTAATTTTAATTCATTCATCATCAGTTTTATAGTAGTTTATGGGAGGAGGTGTCATTAGGTGTCATATACATTTTATCTTTTTAATTTTCCAGAATCCCATTTAATCCCATGTATTGTCTTGCTTTCTTCAATTTACTTACTTTTTGATTCTTGCTTTCTTAATTGCCAATCTTTTCTGGTCAACCTCAGCTTTTTGGCCATCAGTTAAAGCATCATATTCATCTTCGGACATTTCCTCCAGTCTACGCCTTTCAGCTTCTTCCTTCTCAATGGCTTGTCTCTCTGTAATAGAATGTCTGTATGTAACTAAACTCATGGTGCATTGTGTAAAAGAGGAGGGATTAGTTTTATTTTAGATTATAATAGAAGAGAAAAGAAATATTTTATTCAATGTACAACTTCTTCAAGTTTGAGGCACAGAAACACAGAAATATTGAATTTCAACAAATGATTGACAATTTTTAGCATTTTGCCATACACATATCTGTATTAATATCTTGGATTTTGTTGTGGTTTGGTTTGAGAACTTCAAAACTTTACTACCACTGAACCTGCATAACTTAATGAACACTATACCTTTTTCTTCTTCATCCTTTTTCTCTTTTTCTTTGAGAGTATTATAGTCTAGTTTCAACGAGAGCATGTAGATGTACTTCCTGTTATTCAGCGCGCGTAATATAGCATTGAGGGTGGATGGCATGTTCTGGCTAAATAGTGTATCCAGGCCATCAAACACCACTCCCTTATGGCAGTCATTCAACTGAAAAATCAAATGTGTATTTTATAGATGGGTCTAGTGGGATAATATGCATATCAGGGTCTACATAATTTTAATCACTGTGCGAGGTAGTATGCAAAAGATACTATTGGAAAATTTCTCATTTAACTTTGAAAGAAATATATTTTGCTTTAATTCAAGAAAAAACTATATTTTACAAGGAAACACGCCTTATGTTTTTCCGACCTCCATTTTAATAAGACTCCATCCAAAAACCTTACTATTAATTCATTCTGCACTGTATGTCTCATGAACATTCATCTAATATGATTTAATATCACTGGATTATATTTTATGATATACAGTACCATGATTCTGTCAGCTAGTAGGTCAACTAGTAGATCCTCTGGAAGCACGCAGCTCATTAATCCTTCCTCCCCAGCAACACTGGCGCTCACACTCAGTCTACGTGCTATAGGGGCCATAAGAGGAGGGGGGCTACTTGGTACCTAGAATAGAAAGTTACATCATTAAACCTTCCTCCCCAGTAACACTGGCGCTCACACTCAGTCTACATGCTATAGGGGCCATAAGAGGAGGGGGGCTGCTTGGTACCTAGAATACAAAGTTACATGTACATCAAAACACATTTTATGTGTTAAGAGCCCAAAAATTGGGATGGGGGGCTTTTTGGTCCAGAGAATAGAAGTTACATCATAAGAACATCCTCCCCAGTTTATATTTCAAAGCATTTTGAGTATGGTTAACTCATTCATACATGCATGAGGAATTTAGAAAACAGTTTGTTTTCAAAATGACCAAAGTTCACATTTAAAAATGTAATTCATTTATTCACCTGACTAGAAGCGCCATCTAGTGTTGATGCAGCTGCTGCAGCTGCCCCCTTTAGGCCATGTTTGTCTTTACCCTTGGGTTCTCCCACTGTGCTTGTCTTACGGTTAGACACCACACTGTGCGCCACGCTGTGAGCTGCTGAGATGCCACTTACACCACCACCTGGTTGATAAAAGAATAACTTCCAATTATCAAATTTCAAAATAAAATCAACATATTCAAGGCTAAAATCTATAATTTAGCATTCAGGCACTTCAGTTTCATTATCCATGCAGATTATTGATGCAGATCTTTTTAGAGTGGGAATCTGGTAAAAGGAATGTCCAAAACATTTCGGAATTTGCTAATCTAAATCCAAATAGCAAGAAGTAGAGGGTTTATTCATTATATGGGAATCAGAATAAAGACTTCAATTTTATGATTTACGGCAAATATAAGACCTTTCATCTTACATTATTTATGAAAAGAATAAAATCATTGGTCATATATTGTGCAATGAATCATAGAATTTTGGTATATTCCTAAAGTTTCAGATCATTTCTTTTAAAACATTAAAATTTATATAAATCAACAGATGACAAAATTTTAAATATATCAAAATAATTAAACTAAGAACATCCATCCAAGACGACTGTAATTTCCCAAATCATAGTTAATGAAAAATTGCCATAGCAATAGATAATAGGACACAAAGCACAAATGCATCCGACTTTTATGGGATACACTTATAGACCAGTCATCAGAGACCTTTTTTACAAACAATGTGTCATTTTCATGCAAAAGTAATACTTGTTTATCCAAGAAACATTCAAATATATTACACTTATATCTTATCAATGTCCAAAAGCATATAAAAAAGGTGGTCAATTCTAAATATTATTTTTGCTAAAAATGACATTTTGGGCATAAATAATCTTATAATAGAATTATCATAAAATAACTATGTAATTATTATAAAATCCAACAGGAAATTATTCTAGCTTAGTTTAACCCATTTTCCCAAACCCAATAAAAATATTCTAGAATTTACTCAAACAATAATTTCTTAATTAGAAGTATTTCTATTTCTTACGTTCATATACAACACTTTTGCGTCCTGAACTCCTGTTATCAGTGTCATATATTGACTTCACTGCATTGGCGAGAAGGCTTATGCGTTCTAATAATACGATTTTCAGATATATTAACATGCAGAAATCATATGATTTTGCATGCTTGATAAAACAAAACAATATAAAAGTAGAGTAAAGAATTAATCAAATATTGTAAACATAAAGATGCATGCAATCATACAACTTCCTTTTAATCTTTTTTTGTAACAGCTGAAATGCAGGTATGAAATAATAACTCTTTCTATTTACCCCCTCTCTACTATTTGAATAATTAATAAATCCAAATCTGAAATCCCATGCTCTACATGTATATAGCATCAACAAGGCACAGACTTGAACAATATCGTACCTAAAACACAGCAGTGTGACAGTGAAGAATTTAGGACGGAAAATCCAAAATGGCCACCTTAAAATTTACCCAGAATGCCCAAAATAATCAGTTCTTAACTTTGATACGTAGAAAGATCCCTGAAAATTTCAGATGAATCCATCAAATGGTTTGGCTGGAAACCTGTAGACAAGTCTTGAAAGTGAAGATTTTAGGACGGAAAATCCAAAATGGCCACCTTAAATTTTACCCAGAATGCCAAAAAACTAATCAGTTCTTAACTTTGATACGTAGAAACATCCCTGAAAATTTCAGATGAATCCGTCAAATGGTTTGGCTGGAAACCTGTAGACAAGTCTTGAAAGTGAAGATTTTAGGACGGAAAATCCAAAATGGCCACCTTGAAATTTACCCAGAATGCCCAAAAACTGATCAGTTGTTAACTTTGATATGTAGAAACATCCCTGTAAATTTCAAATGAATCCGTCAAATGGTTTGGCTGGAAACCTGTAGACAAGTCTTGAAAGTGAAGATTTTAGGACGGAAAATCCAAAATGGCCACCTTAAATTTTACCCAGAATGCCAAAAAACTAATCAGTTCTTAACTTTGATACGCACAAACATTCCTGAAAATTTCAGATGAATCCGTCAAATGGTTTGGCTGAAAAGTGAGACGCCGCCTGCCCGCCCGCCGCCCGTCAAGCTGACGACAATATAGTTTATTAGGTACGATAAAAAGGACAAGCAAATTCAATGCTCTATTTTTCAACTCAAATTTCTTGCATCTTTAAATAATTTGCAGCGTTTTATGCCTCAGTCATATATGACAACAGTATTGCGACCGTAGCTTCCCAAAATCTATAGAAATATGCAGCATAAAACATAGGGATAAGTAGTACGATGTTGATTTTCTATATTGATTTTGTGAAGCTATGGTCACCGTATGGCTGCCGTAGAGCAAATGTGACTGAGGCTTAAATCATTTGTTTGAGCTTTTAAACATTTTTTGCTTTTCAATAGTTTTTTATTAAATTTTCCATTCTACAAAATGTGACTCCATTTTATAATTTATTTTCCATTCTAAAATGTGATCCCATTTTATCATTTATTTTCAATTCCAAAATGTGACCCAATTTTATCATTTATTTTTCCATCCTAAAATGTGATCCCATTTTATCATTTATTTTCAATTCTAAAATGTTACCCAATTTTATAATTTATTTTCCATTCTAAAATGTGATCCCATTTTATCCTTTATTTTCCATTCAAAAATGTGACCCATTTTATCATGCATTTTATGATTGGTACACAATGACTCTACAACATGCATAGACCATTAAACAATTTACCACCAGTGCTTGTGCGAGAGGGTGTACCTAATATATACAAAGGGAAATAATACATTATATAATCTAGGCAGTCTAGTGCAAAAGCCCAAAAAATAACATAGCTGACTGATATATAGAAATGGAAAATTAGCTCATTTTTGAGGCTGTGTTCTAGCCTGTATACATAGATACCAAATTTATGTCTAGTGCTCTTCATGAAGTGCTTGGTTGGTTTTTGTGCAAAAAGAAGGAATTTTCACAGGTGCCCCCAAGCAAATCTGTGCAGAATGTGAAATATAAAGAAATGCACATAAACTATATTGGAAACACTAAATCAAAGCAGGGTTGTGGGACATATCTTGTAAATACTGGTTCATGTATGAATATAAAAGACCTTTATTTGAAAATATTCTGTAAAAGAGAGACAAAGTAATCAAGGAGGGAAGGGACTAGTATTTTACTTTATAAAATATTTCTGTTAAGATTCAGAAAAGTTCTTAATTATATTGAATAAAATAGTTTTGATGCTGGAGGGTCAGGATTTTTATTTAGTAGTTATTTACCAAGGACTGTCCGATTGCTTCTCATGCTGGTCACACTCATCATTGCTAGAACTAGCAAGATATTTTCAAATTTAGATGAAAATTATGATATATTTATACATGATTTAATTGAATATTATCAGGCTTTTAATAGGAAGAGAATTTTTATCTCTTTGCAAATCAACAAACATGAAAATTCTCAATGGTCGTCTTTTTAGTGACAAAGAAGTTGGAAAATTTACTTGTTATCGAAACTATAGTCGTAATTGTGCGTCAGACCCTGACATTGGTAAATCTGTTATTGATTATGTAGTAGTTCAACCAATGTTAATTCCATTATTATCAGATTTTAAAGTACATGATAGAAGGGTAAAATCTGATCATGCCCCTTTACATTTTTCACTTTCACTGACAAAGACTGATCAAAAAACAAGTCTCGAAGGTAGAACATCAGATTGAAGAAAGAATATGAACATTAATACATATAAGTCATATAAATGGGAACCCTGCAAAGAAAAATGAGTTTATACAAAAACTTACCGATCAAACTAGTTATGAATTGTTGAGCACTTTTTACACAGAATTAGGCTGTACTAATGTAGGATCAGATGAACTATTGAGGAAACTTTTAAGTGTTATACATCATGCATGTGAAGGTACATTTGAATTTAGACAATTAAAATCAAACAAAAACAATAAATTTCCCATAAATTCTTGGTTCACAGATGAATGTAAAATCCTGAAAAGAAAAGTTCACGGTGCTATTAAAAATAAACTTGATGATAGTCATATCGATCAACTTATTAAACAGTATAATCAAACTAAACAGAGGGAAAAAAGAAAATTTAAAGCAGGTATGTTAGAAAGCTTAGTAGAAAATAGATCAAAATGTTCAACTGATTTTTGGAAACTTATTAATGCATTGCCAGGAAATGTAATTAAAGATATACCAGTTCCCCCTGAGGACCTATTAACTTTTTTTCAAAATCTGGCAAAGCCCCCAAACTTAGATTATTTTGATATTGAGGCACTCCAAAAGATGAATGACTATATTCAAGACTACATTCCAATTAATTCTTATTCTAATGACCCTAATTTAAATCTCTGCCATGATATCATAGATGACAGAATTAGTCAAATTGAGGTTTATAATGCTTTTAAAAGAGTAAACTCTAATAAATCAGCCGGCATTGATGGCATCCCATCAAACATAATTCGTAATTGTGAGGCTCTTATTCCAGATTTCACGGCACTTTTTAATGCAATATTTGACAGTGGAAATTATCCACAGGACTGGAGCATTGGTATGTTGAGTCCGCTGTTTAAACAAGGAAGTAGACTTAAAGCTGATAACTACAGAGGTATAAATGTATTAGCTTGTATCGGTTATGTATTTGACTCCATTATTCAAAATCGACTTGTTTTTAACGCACAGGTACAGAATATCCAAGATCCTCTACAGGGTGCATATAAGGAAAATAGCCGTACAATTGATAACATATTTTTACTACAAACAGTAATTAACAAATCTAAACTGCTTAAAAAACCTTTGTTTACATGTATGGTTGACTTCAAAAAGGTGTTTGACTTTATAGATCGATCAGTTTTGCTATACAAACTCAGTAAAAGTGGCATAAGTCCTCATACCAAAATGTATAAAATCATCGACAATATGTATTCCAAATCTCAATCTTGTCTAAAGTTAAAGAATGGAGTAACAGATTATTTTGATACTGATATAGGGGTTTTGCAAGGTAGTGTGCTTAGTACTTTTTTATTCAATCATTTCATCGATGATCTTACTTTACAATTACCAGCTCACTGTGGTGTTATTTTAAACGGTAAAAGGTTAAATCATCTTCTATGGGCGGATGACCTTGTATTGATCTCAGAATCCAGTGACGGATTGCAGCTATTGCTTGACACACTTTTTTCTTTTTGTAAGACTAACAGGTTAATTGTCAACACGATGAAAACTAAAGCACTTATCTTCAATTCTAAAAGATCATTCAAATTTGAATTTAATGACCAAACTATAGAATGTGTCAAAGAATACAAATATTTAGGTCTCATTCTCACCAAAAATAACAGTTTTGATCTGAACACTAAGTACCTTAAAGAACAATCAAAAAAGGCACTTTTTAAGATAAAGCAACAATATAAGAAGTTTAATGATGTACCACCGGATGTGGCTCTTCATCTGTTTAATGCGTTAGTTAGTCCTATTTTATGTTATGCATGTGAAATATGGTATGATAAAAAGCAAATGAAAGCAATTGAGTCAATTCATTTGTCTTTTTTAAAGTCAACATTAGGTGTTAAATCACAAACTGCAAGCCCAGCTGTATATGGTGACCTAGGGAGATACCCATTATCAATCAAAATAGAATCTTACATTATAAAATACTGGCTTAGGTTTCAAAATTTTCCAGAGAGTAATATATTAAATCAAGCATACTTATATGATAGGGGTAATCAAGAGTTAGGGTTTAAAAGTTGGTCAAGCAAGGTTTATGATATACTCAGAAAATGTGATTTATTAGATTATTGGAATAATCAAAATTTGGATACTGAAAATCTGGTGAATATGGTTGAAAAGAAATTAAAAATATTATTTGTAGAAAAATGGAAAAATGATTTGAACACTTATCCTATATTGAGAACGTACAAATTATTTAAAAATGATTTTGGTAAAGAATTGTACTTGAAACTAGATAATAAAAAGTATAGATTGGCTACAAGTAGATTTAGAATGAGTTCTCATCAGTTAGCAATTGAGACTGGAAGACATACAAAGCCAAAACCAAAACCTTTAGAGGAAAGATTATGTAATATTTGTAAAGATGTAGAGGATGAATGTCATTTCTTTTTAGCTTGTACAAAAAATGATGAGAATAGGCAAATATTATATACAAAAGCCCGTGAAATTTTACCTAACTTGGATTTACAAAGTGAAAATTTATTTGTCAATCTTATTTCTAATAAAAATGTAACCTTGCAAAGACATATTGGCAAATTCATTTACCATTCATTTAAGAATTTAGCATGGTCATAATGCATTGTGTGTGCACCACACTATTATTGTTACCATATATATTTTTATATATTTTTTGTATTTTTTAGTTTAGTTGGTGTTTTGTAGTTTAGATATGTAGTCTACCATAGTTCTGACTAATGTAATCATGTTATGATACTATATGTCAATAAAAGTTATATATAATACATCATTTTTGGATCCAAAAACAAGCATATCTGAACTCTGTAAAAAAGATGGAAACCACAACATTTTAAGACCTTGGAATATACATGTCAATCAATCAAAAGCTGCACGTACTTTCTCATCTGATTAAGTGAAAGAAGACCCAGATGTCTGACATAATATTAATACATGTATACTATATATACAAAAATTAAGGGCAACAAAAATGGTGCATTGATTATTAACACAGATTCTAACCCCCCCCCCCAAAAAAAACATATCATACTGAAAAAAGAGATACTATTTCGTGGAAGAGGTGTATTAGCACATAAATGTGTATGTGTATTTGCATACATTTTGGTGAATAAAGTGAGACATAAACTATCAAGATTGCGTACCTTGTCCCTGTGTGTGGGCTGCTACTGCTTCAACACTCAATCCTCCTGCAACCTTTTTGTCACCCTTGAAATAAGAAAAATGTCATGTGGTGGTCATGTTTTAAAATGCAAAATAAAGTGGAATTATGGAGAATAAGCAAGGAATAAAGTAAACTGAGATGAAGATACCACTCTAAATTGTACAGAAATGCCAGAATATCAGATACTTTATTCAAATTTTAAAGAGAAATACCCATTAAAAAGCATGTATTGCATCGAGCAGACGGACATTTTTTGTGATTTTAAATGAGAGAAATGGGGGGAGGGGAATGAAGATAGCAAATGGACATCAGAAAGAGTTTGGTGTTGAAACATGCTTAAATAACTATAATAAATAAAAAAGATCAAATATCTGGACATGAATTCTTCATGAGATAATTCCATCTTGACCAACCCTCCTGAAACATATCAAGCAGTCTCTTTATATAAACCATTACCTCATCACTTTCTAGCAGACGCATTTCCTCAGCTTTCTTGCGAGCAGCCTCTTGGCATAGTTCCCTAGCACGTAACCCTGCAGGTGTGCTTCCGCTAGATATTGCCTCTGTGACGAGGCTATTAATGCTGAGTAGTGCAGCCTCATAGCGCTTGGCTAGCATAATAGCAGTGTTGGTTTTACCTTTAGAAATAAGAAAATACAATGAATGTGCACATACTGCTAACTTTGTATTTTTGGGGTTGAAAAAACCAACAATACAAGGGTTTATTCATGAGAAGTATACATGTACAATTAAAATAGCTTCTATATTTTTCTTTACAAGCTAAGACTTAGTAACCATTACCTATGACTGTGGGTCATTTAAAGATAAACATTTGTAACGTATATTCCTATCCTGCATAAATCATAATCTTTCTAGAACATACTGTTAATCATTTGAAAATGAAGAGCAATAGTGAATGAACATAAAGGCAAAAAATAAAGAAATTCATCACTTAAACTCCAGTTGACATCTTCTAAGTTTCATACTTCTTAATTTAAAATTCCCCTTGAGCAGTTTCCCAAAAATATCTTACCAGACATTGGTGCGCCATGTACTATAACTGCAATGCCTCTGCGATTGCGAGCTGCCTTGCCCTCGGGGGATAGATCTATCCCAAGATGCCTTGCAATAGCGGCAGATACTGGGGTTATTTCCAGTTCTCCTACACCAACACTGCTGGATGATTCTTTCAATTTATCTGGAGAAAAAATAAAAAATGTATTAATTTAATGAACCTATTAACTTGTATATATATTGTGATTTGTGGACCATGCGATGGGTCATCAAATGTTAAATGGACCTTTGCACTGTCTAAGAAGTTTCCCGCAAAATATGATACAAATATGAAAATTAATGGAAATAAGATATTCTAAATTTTCCAACCAAAACAAAAATGGCCAACCTTCATCCTCTACTTTAAGTGCATCTCTGGATTTCTCATCAAGTTTCTCCATTGATTTATCAAGTTTTCCTTCCTTGTCTTTGATTGGTTCAGTGCTAGCTTGTCTAGATGGGGCTACTGTGGTGATGACTGGAACACTGGATTGTTGGTCAGTTGTCGTTGTTTCATCATCTTCACCCTCTGCAGCAGCGGCAGCAGCTGCAGCTAGAATAAAAATTTCAAAATAAAACTTCACGACAGCCAATTTTTGAAATTCAAAATAGCGAGTGAAAAATTCAGCTTAGTCAAGAATAAAACAAACAGACATGAATTCACCACTTTAAATTGTATAGAAATGTCAGAAAATGTGACGCTTCTTTCAAAAAATTTTAGAGAGAAATAAAGCAAAATAGTCAGAACCAGAATGATTTGAAGCAGACGGATGATCAGACATTTACCTGCTTCTTGCTCCTCCTGTTCTTTCCTAGCTTGCTCAGCTGCCTCTTCTGCTTCAATACGAGCTTTCTCCGCCTCTTCAAACTTTTTTATCTGTTCTTCATAATAGTCCACAAGTTCTGATGGCAGTTTGTCTCCTGTGGCACGGGGTGGCAGTAGGACGGTGTTATACTCATCAAACCCCCGCATCAGACGCAGAATCTGGGTAAGAGATTTCAAAAGTACATTAGATCATGCATCATTATCCTGTAAACTGTTGTGTGGTCAGCTTCAAAATGCAAAAGTGTAACTTTTCCAATTTCTGAAGCATTTGGCTCATCATACTTTGACCTTCTCACATCTTTTAAGTAATAAAAATTAACCTCAAAGTTCACCTTATAAAAAATCGACTTGATTTTTCAAGAATTTTTTTAAGAAAAATAGTTACCTTTTCCTCTTCCAGGTATTGTTTGTCAAACTCAAGACTGTAAAACTCAATTGGAAAATCACAGGGATTCTTCACGACTATTTCTTGCTCATCACCACTACTGTGAGGAAGAATTGGACCAAACTCTACAAGATTGCGCTCAAAGTCCAAACGAGGCTCTAACCCTTGACCTCTTGCCATCAGCATGATGCGTTGACTACTCTGAGAGAGGCGAAGAGGAATACGTTGCTCGTAGAAAGTCTATAAGAACAAATTTTATTTCTAATGCCATACATGTTTTATTACTAAATGTCAACATATTTATGTCAAGCACATTGAGGCATGCTTGATATTGTTTTCAAATGGTACGATGACATCACACAAACATTAATGAAAGAGTACACAAAGACCATGTTAAAAATATTACCGTACATGTAGTAGAATTTAATAGGACAACACATAAATATGTACTTGAATCTTATGATAAAAAATAAATAGTACCTAACAGTACTGTGTAAGTCCTGTATTCAATTATGTAAGCTCCCAATATCTTTATAATGTATCATAGATAATGCATTATGAAAATTTATGAGAGAAGAAAGTCAAGACATCAGGCAGTTTTGCTGAAAACAGTCCGCAAAAATCGCCTATTGCTTAGCTAGTAACAAACCCCCGATTCTTACCTCTTCAGTTGGCATGAACTTGACTTGTACATTGATTCTTTGGCCAGGCATGAGAGTACCAAAGGCAGGCATCATCTCAAAGGTATTTGGCTTATTTGTCTGTTTCTTCTGGGTTCTTCTAAGATGCATCGGTGTGTGCTTGTCAACCTAAGTAATGTATGATTAAAATAGTTTATGTTCTTGCTCATTTAATTTTTGAATGTAGAATGCATATGCACCAAGTTTAGAAAAAATTATTCCAGAAATTATTTAAAAATAGGGTGAGTGAACAAAACAGAACTGCCCAAAACTGTAATAATTGTAATTTCATTTTTCACTTCACAATAATTTTGTCAAAGGTATAATAAATAAATTGATTACAATTATTATAATTTTGGGCAGTCATGTTTTTTGGAGTCACCCTGTATTTATATAAATTGTTATTGGATTAACTGAATACAGGAGATTTAAAGAAGAAAGGCCTCTGCATTATGTGATATGCATGATCTAAAATCCACACCAAACAAAAATTCTTCACTAACCTTTTTCTTATCTTTCTGTTCAGCGATTGAATTCCATTCACATTTGACATGTTTGTGATTATGCAGTTGAACAGTTATCACCTTACACTCCCCACAATTAACATTTCCAAAATCCAGAGTATCAGAGGAAATTTCCATATCAGGCATTGTAACATTAGCTCTTAGCTTAATACATGCTTGAGGGCCACCAACAATCTGAAATGAGAAGGGGCAACTTAAACAAAATCAAGACCTCTATATATAATGTATCCACAATTGTAATGCAAAATCAATCTTGATACAGTGAAACATGGAAATTGGAACACATCTCCAAAACGGACGTCTCTGTTAGGTGGTACATTTTTGAGAGTCCAAAGACCAACTGACTTAATGTTAAATGAACCTCTATAAGTTGAACACCTCCAAAGGGGAACACAATTTAGAGTTACCAAAGGTGTTCCACATAGACAGGTTTTACTGTAATTATATTGATCACACTGATTCAAAGCATAGGCGACTATCACAGGTATCTCCTGCTTAGTCCATCTTGAGTCAAGTAACTACACGATCATTCTCATTTACATGTAATTATGTAACAAACTGGAGTAAATTCCAATAATCGAATCAATCTAAGCTAAATTTTACTTACATTTATTGGGACTATAGTTTCTGTGTCACCAAGGCCAAGATTGGCACCCCTGGGATCAAAACTGATAACAAAATCAACCGTCTCATGATCTGGAGCGCCCGGAAGTTGTCGAACACGATTTAACTCCACATTGAAGCCGCTATTCCAGAGATACTCGTGATCAACTGAAAATGAGGCTGGATACCAACCAGTGTTAGTGGCGCGTACAATATGTGTGCGGACGGTTCCTAGGACAACATAGCCAAAGTCCAACAAATAATCAGGTAGTCTTGGCCTGGAAAAGAAGTTACATTATTTTGTAATATGTGATTCAGGGTCTTGTTTTTAATACAATACAAAACAGTGGAAAATGTAAAGTAAGCACAGACATACACGATTAAGTATTCACATTTTCAATAGATATGGCAAGGAATATTTAACGTTACATTAAATATTAAAGAATTCCCCAGATTTAGTTCATCTAAATCTCTGCCGAAAAGACCTTGATTCGGGCACATGTCTTTGGTATTAATACATAATGCAGATACATACTTTGGTTTGAGCTTTTTCTTTGGTTTAGAGCTTGACTTTCGACTTTCAGATGTTTGTGGAATTGTCTGGAAGACATCACTACGAGAACTATTCTGTTGCTGGTCTTCGGCAAACTCCTTAACAATCATTCTCTCAACCTCCATCTGGATATCGAGTTCCGATGGCAAGTTTTCTTGCTGCAAAAACAAACACATTTCTTCTATTATATTTATGCATTCTGATATATATATATATATATTCCATTCTTAATTAAAATAGCATGGACTTAAAAGGAGGAGGCAGAGAAATATTTTTTTTGTCATCAAATAATTTCAAATGGACAAATGTTTGCTATTTATAATTTTATTCATGTAAATTGAATTTAATGAATTATTGATCGAATAACACAACATGTTTTGTCTGAATTTATTTATATAATAATAAAAATATCCGCTCAGTTTTAGCCCAATTGCCGACTTGTGTTGTTTTATTGTATTGAGGAAAGAAATTAAATGCATTTGAAAAAATTGCCTAGTTTTTTAACAAGAAACATTTCTGTGTACAGAAGTTCAGAATCCTAGATTATTAAACATTTTATAAAAATTTCTAAACTTCTGTCCATTGACTAAAATTCTAATGTGGCATGACTTACATGTAAACAACTGCCAGACTTAACATCGTCAGATCTATGGGTATCACGTTGCGATGACAATGCGCTGGGTAGTTGATCACACCTCTCGCATTCTTTCCCTTCCTTCTCATTGGCTAGGCTCTCTCGTACATCCTTCATCAGTGACGTGTAATGTCCTTCTTCGTCACCTATCCTCGGGAGATCCAGGGAGATTCTTGGGAAAACACCTTCTCCGTATAGGTTGATGGTGTCTGGTTCGAAATGGGCCACTTGGACCATAAAGCTCTTGTGGAATGTTTCAGGTACTCCAGGCAGGAACTTTAAGGTGAGAGTCTGAGAAGCATTGGCCTCTATGTATCCCTAGAAATATATGGCATAATTTTTTTTATTATTGTGAACAATAAGGGCATAATTTAGTCAGTGCGAATGCTTAAATAAGGCACTTTTTAACACACCTTTCGGAGATTTTAATTTTTCTTTACATATAGCAACAAACAGTTATAATTATAACACACATTTACAGTTAAGCAGTGGATTGAAGTTGAGTCAACTATCCTTAAATTGAGTGGCTATTTCATTTGTGTAATTATTGTATTACCAAAGAAATCTAATGAACATCTACAACTCATTTACAGTAAAACTTTATACAGTAAAACTTTATACCGTAAAACTTTATACAGTAAAACCTGCCTTAATGAACACCTCTCTCTAGGGAACACCACTTCAGGACACATTTTACATTGACTCCTGTATAAATTCCCCTGTTTGTAGTGAACACTTAGTGTACACTTTTTAAGGCTCTTTTGTGTTCACTTTATACAGGTTATACTGTATTGTCATGTGTCAACTTACTGTATGTGGAATCATAACTGGGACACCTGGCACTGGTTTATTAGCCATACTGGGGTCCATGTTGAGAGCAGTGAACTCAAAGCCAACCTTCCCTGTGTAGTTATTGTATTTCAAAATCTTTATATATATATATATTGTCATGTGTCAACTTACTGTATGTGGAATCATAACAGGAACACCTGGCATTGGTTTATTAGCCATACTGGGGTCCATGTTGAGAGCAGTGAACTCAAAGCCAACCTTCCCTGTGTTATGGAGAGTCACTTCTGCTACAGCAACTTGATCAAACATCTGCAAAGAAAATTGATCATCAGGATTAAATCTATATACATGTACCTTATGCAGTAAATATGCAATTTATTTCACAAAGGATATCAAATGGCATACGTTTATAGTGGTAGATTTCCACTCACTTTTGATATTTTTTGGCAGATCACATCTTTTATATCCACCCATTTTTGATATGTTTCGCAGATCAAAACTTTTATATTCAACCCATTTTTTGATATTTTTTTGCAGATCATAACTTTTATATCCTTCCTCTCAAACCCAGATGATACATTGATTTTTGAACAAGCAACATACATTGATTTCAGTTTCATAATGGACACTAATTCATAGTAATATTGTTATCAATATTGAAAAACTGAAATGCTCTCTTACCTGTTTCCCGTAATCTATATCCACACAATCAAACTCATAATTGACCAATGAGGCTTCTCCACTGAGTGTCAATTCATAAGTGGGACCTCCCTCCACCTCACAGAGAGCACGTGCCAGTCCCCAAATGTCTGCATGCCCATAAAAGGTCAATGTGATTTGTTCGGTATCTCCAGGTTTTAGCGTCCCATATAGAGGGAGAATATCAAATACCTGAAATTGAACAAAAGCAAAAGTGAACATTCCTTTAGGCTGATGTAATAAATCTGAAACGTATCAGTTTCAAAGAATGAATAAAATCACTGTGTAACATATATTAAGCTGTACTCAGTCTATATCTTGTATTTTCAAAAAAATCTTTTTTCCCATTGACTTAACATGGGGCACCAAATTTAGTGATTTTTGAGCTTCCAATGCCTAAATATGGTAAAATAAAACCGACTGGAAAATTCATAAGAATAAGGTGGAATTAAAGACACACAGTGATAAATATCGCACTTTTGCCACTAAGTAATTAAGGTTGCATGTCTAAAACAATGCCCACCAGCATATAAGACAACAACACAGTAATATAAGAAAATAGGATCTTGGGGTGAAGAATCATTCCTTCACCATTACCCTAACTCCTTAACTCACCTCTTCAACCCCCAGGGGCTCCTGATTAGGGTCAGGCTCCATTAGAGCCTGTAGGACAGAGTTCACTGTAGTTGGGGCCTTACTGGCAGCTGTCCCTGGGCGGTTGGGGTCAGCTGCTGTAGAGGCACGACTGATCACTATACGCTGTTCTGAGAGGTCCTGGTCCTCAGCAAATATGTCCTGAAATTATGGGATATATTCATCTTCATGTACAGTATATGCGCAATGTATGTGGCTTATTTACTCTCGAAACATAAAGGCATGTTAAGACCCTTTTAATGTTATCCAATACAATGATAAAGTCATCATATTTCATTGTGGGAGAGTTAGCATATGTTTCAGGGGTACAGAAATACCTGAACCTCATCTGTGGGGTCTGTGGTAACACCCCTCAAAAGTAGTCTGCAACAATAATGAACTGATCTGAATTCAAAGTATGGTTGAGTTAATTATGCCACAGAGGGGTGTACAAATACCTTTTCTTCATTTGCAGGTTCCATGATGAGCATTTCTTTTTTCTCTTCTTCATCTCCACTATCTATTTTCTCCGTATCCATCTTTTCTCTCTCCTCATCACTCATATTGTGGTCACCATTGACCTCATCCTCCTGAAAATATTCAAAACTTATTGTCAATATTTCTTAATAAAACTTCCACAATGCAACCTTAAAATATTGATTTGTAAATATTGAAAATTAATGTGGTCTTGCCAATAAATTTAACATTTGGTGGTTGCTATGATATCCTTGTTGTATATCGTCAGATATGTGTAGCTGTAAAAGTCTAAAATTCAGTCCTGCATTTTTGAATAAAGATTATTCCTTTACCTTGTTATCTTTTTGTAATGTAAAGTAAAATAAATTAAAAAAAATATACAATTACATCAAGGACGTTTTCACTTTCAAAATCCACTATCTTAATAATGATGGAATTAAAATCCTCCTTTATTAGACCGGGTGCTTTTCTGCAAAAGGTCTCTCTGTAAACTGTGGTAGGCGTTTAGTGTTAAAAGTGTTCTGACAAGTGTTTCTTATGTAACTTTTTATGCTGAATCCAAAAAACCATGTTGGCAAGCTGAAATATGATTATTTAACCCTTAAAATACCATGTTAGTCCCCCTACCCCCAAAATTCACCCCTATCAGGGGGGAAAAAATTCTTCAACCTAAAATAACTTTGATATTATGGTTTTTGTAAGTGAAATACATGGACATTGTATAAAATAAACATTTGAAGTATGAATGATACGAATTACCCTTAAGAAATTTGAATAAAAGCAAAAAGTATGTACCCCAGGGGGCAAATTTATGACCCATTTTTTACTTTTCGTGTCATAATTTTTTTATTAGACAATGATGGATGCTAAAAAAATCCATGTAAAAGGCATGATACCTGGTCTACTAATCCTGCAAGAATCAAAGTAATTTATTTGATAATTGCCTTGAAAAGAATTAGTGAATTTAAGAAAAAATGACATTTTAGCTGGGACTGATTTTATGTGTGACTATAACTGACCCCTATTGCTTTAACATTTATCCCTCTGTGTTCATATATTTAGCATTTTAGAATAAATCTAAAATCTAAAACTTATTTTAGCTAAGTTTTAGGAAGATTTAAGCTTTTTATCATGTTCAACTATTAAAAATTCATGAAATATGATGTCTAAAATTGATAAGTTATATGTATACCCTTGGAAGACCCTTATAATTTCTTATTTATGAACATATTTGTACCAATATTAGTTTTCTAGCTTAGAGAAATGATGTATGATATATCCTGGCTTGGCTTTCTGGTGGTTTGAACAATCTTTTAAGTGTTATCATTGAAAATTCATTCTTAAATCATAGGTCTGCAATCGATTAAATTCATGTATACCATTGGTATCATTCTACTGGTATGAGCATAATTGAACTAGCTATGATTTCATAGATTAGTTTTTTGATGTATGACATATTCCAAGCTGACTTTCTGGTGATTTTAACCATCTAAGAGGCCTAATCATTGAAAACCAATACAAATAAAGGCCTAAACGAACAGTATTAAGGTAGACTATTAGAACACCCTTATTAATTCCAGGCTTAGAGTATATTGGTACCTACTCATAGCTCGGAGGTTTGATATATGACATATTCTGACTAGTTTTTCTGCAGATTTGAACCACCTAACAGGTCTAATATCATTGAATATACTTAATATACTAGGTCTAAAATTGAAGTATTCAATAGAACCCTCTATGATAAATTCAAAAAAGATTCAGAATGACATTAATCTCAACACTGGATCTAAATCAGAATTACAATTCTTCATAGAGCTGAACTAGGAAGACAAGGCTAATTTCATTCTAAGCAGCCTGACAAATGCATGACGTGAGAGCAAAAGTACCAATGATTCATACAAATCTTCATTTTATGGAGTTTTCTTCCCTGAACAATGTTAAGTCATATTAAAAAATCCCCCCCTGTCCCCATTAACCTTTCTGTGTTACTCTTGGAGTTAAGGCAGAAATTCTTGACAAATGGCGTATACTCACTTTGACAACATTTTGAATTAGTGGGATGTTTCAGTTAATGAGAGTTTTTGCAGAGTAGCAATTTTTTGGCAATTTAAATCCAATAGGACCATATATGGGAACTTCAAAAAAGATTCAGAATGACATTAACAACAACATTGGATCTGGAAATCAAATAAAGCAACTGATTGATGTGATCTCGGATGACTCTTGTAAATCAGAATTACAATCCTACATAGAGCTGAACAAGGAAGACAAGGATTACTTTTCATTCTGGTAGTAATACATGGACATGGTCCAAATCTTGATACGCTTCACCATAGCCCAAAGAAAGGGAAATTGGGAGCTTCATCTCAATGTATTTCAATGCATGATCCCCTTTTTCATGAGATATGACCACCAAAAGTATGCAAGACGGGGCACAGTACACTTCACTGCTGAAGTTTTGCTTCCTTGAAGACTGTAGCCAAATCCTCAGATGTAGATGCAATTGATACTAATTTGTAAGAGGGATCATATATTGGAAATATTACGGTTGGCATTTTAATGCCATTTGTTAAACAGTTAAAGGAACATTCCTGGCCAGACCATTTCTCTCCTAATATGGTAGCTATAACCATATATATACTTTCCATATTTAGTAAAACAGGGAAAAATGTTTTAGTATAGTCAATATTGATCACTTGAAAATGTAGTGCTGAATTCCAGTAGGCTGCCATCTTTTAGTATTTCACTCAGGAAGTGATGTCATCGACTCTCAACTTTGCATATAACATAATAAAGAGCTATTAAGAATTACAAAATCCAGCTGTGCATTCTTTTTCAATTTTGTCTATGATTTAATCCTTCTATACGTCTCTTCTATTATTCTAAGCTGACAAACTCTGAAAATATTTTTGCACATAAAGTAAGAACCACTTGTCTAGAAGTGATTTTGTGCTACTTCCTTATACTGTTATATGCAAGGTCATGGAAGTTGAGAGTCGATGACATCACTGTCAAGTTATTCATAGTGTGATCTACTGTACCCCTGGTAACTTTCCAAGTATTTCATATCTGAGTATTTTACTCATTCAGTGAAAGGGTATATATAGTGTGAGTAACAGAAGCACGTGGTCTGTTTTCTCGTTCGTGCTGTGTCGTGACGTCTGTTTCGTGTCCTTTGTGCTGTATACGTGGCTTGCTTTATAGATGTGTATACTGAGGTATTTATATTGTTTATTTCACATACTGTTGTCAAGTAAAAACAAATAACAGGTAATTATTGTAACATAAACAATTAATAAATTACAGCAAGCTACATTCAAAGTTTCTCTAAAACAACTTGTCAGTAGTTTCACAATTGTATTGTAGACATTTTTATTTCATTGTACACGTGGTAGAGTTATTCCTCAATTTATTTATAGTTTTTGAGACGAATATATTTTGAGGAAAGTGGACTACGTTCTCGAAAGTACCTTTATACTACGTTTGCCCTGTCGGAGTACCTAACCCAGAAGTGACATTAGATTTACTCCAACGCAATCTTCAGAATTCGGACTATATCGGAATATGATATGTGACCATATATCGATATCCAGAGGGAGGTCCGCTGATATTATTAAGTATCTGATGCCAAGACTGTTTTGCTGTCTTAAATTTCAAATATAATGTTTGACTTTCCTAAAGTACTATTGTAAAACATTATCATAATAGTTTACCATTATTGTGTACAAATACATAGCATTATTCTTAAAATACTAATTTATGTTAAATATATCACTTTAACAGTTTATTGAACCTGACAACTTGACAATCACTTCCTGAGTAAAATCTTAAAAGATGGCAGCTAACTGGAAATGAGCACTACATTTTTAAATTATCAATATTGACTATATTAAAACATTTCCTGGTGTTTTGCTAAATAGGGAAAGTATATATCTGATTATAGCTATCACATAAGGATAGAAACGGTTTGGCCAGGAATGTTCCTTTAAGGAGTAGAGTACATTTGAGTTGGCTTGAATGTTTCATTCGTCAATGAGGGCTATTGGAAAAGACATCAGCTCATGTTTCATGATTTCATTTATGCCCACAGGTCTGTGGTTAGCTTCATATGCAGTGATAAGATTCTGCAAAACATTCCTGTCTGCCTTAACAACTTTCTGCTCGTTTATATTGGGATTAGGCATATAGTTTAATAAAAAATGTTGGTGCTTGCTCAGTAGATCAAGAAATGTTGTGTCTTTCATTTGATCCTGTTGGTATCAACCTCTAAGACACAAAGACATCCAGTTGTTGTTGGCCAAACTGTCGAGCCTGTTGATTGTTTCTGGGAGTACATCTTTTGTACATATACTTTGGAGATTAAGTAATGGATCTTTTGAAAACATGCCAAACTTCAGCAGCATGTCACATATTTTATCTTCTTCCATAGATTCTTGTTTTGATTTGCAAATTACCACCCCCCCCCCTCTATGGAATCTCAAAACGCAAGTCCAAACATCATTCTTGTTTGGACTCCCCATGTGTGACCTAAGATTATACCCCGGTGCCCATCTGTTCAATGCAGATATTGTCTTTGTGTTATGCCTACAATTCTGCCACCCTTCTAACCAATAGCATACTGGCATAGGGGTCAATCAACTTGGTTGATTGAATTTGTAGAGCCTTTTACCACATAGTTCAATGCAAGAATCGTCGCTCAACTGCAGCAGGTACTATATTCTAATAGTTAGTGCATTTCCTCTAAGTTTACTGTGCCACACCTTCCATAATTTTGGTGGTCATGAAATAAGGGATCATGCATTGAAATGCATTGAGATGAAGCTCCTTATTTCCCTTTCTTTGGGCTTGGATGAAGTATAGCAAGATTTGGACCAGGTCCATGTATCAACACCAGAATGAAGTTAGCCTTGTCTTCCCTGTTCAGCTCTATGAAGGAATTTAATCTGTATTCAGATCTAATGTTGAGGTTAATGTCATTTTGAATCTTTTTTTGAATTTTCATAGAGGGTTCTATTGAATACTTCAATTTTAGACCTAGTATATGAAGTATAATCAATGATTAGACCTGTCATTGGTTCAAATCTGCAGAAAAACTAGTCAGGATATATCATAT